CCGCACCTGCTCACCCCGCCCCGCCCTCCCAACCTCCCCGCCCCTCCCCACCCTCTCCACCCCCCGCCTCTCCCCACCCTCTCCACCCCCCGCCTCTCCCCACCCTCCCCACCTCCCCGCCTCCCCGCCCTCCCCGCCCCTCCCGCCCTCCCAGGCGAGCTGCTCGGCCTCGCGCAGGAGAGGCGCCCCCGCGGGGCAAGGAGGCGCCCGAGCCGTCTCGGAGCTGTCTCGGAGCCCTCCCCTGTAGGAGCAGTGCCCCTCGTACCAGGAGGTGCGCGCCCTCGGCGGCGTCGGGTACAATGGCGGCGTGCAGCTCCTGCGGCTCGACGCGATGCGGTCCTCCGCAGCGTACGCCGCCGCCATCGAGCGGTACGCGGCGGGAGGCTTCGGCAGGCCGGGCGCGCCTCCGATGAAGGAGGGCGGCATCGGCTGGCTCGGCGACCAGACGCTCTACTCGTGGATGAGCGTCAACTCGACCGGTCCCCGCCCCCCCGTCCCGCAAAAGGGCTGTGCGGCCGGCAACCCCTCCCCGGACCTCCTCGGGGCCCTGCGGTAGGCTTCCGCGCCTTCTTCCGCGACCTGCCCTGCGGCTGGAACCGGCAGATCGGCACGCACATGGCGGGCTGGCCCCGCTTCTGGCGGTGGCACGCCTGCGGCTCGCCGTGCCGGCTGCTGCACGGCAACTTTGTCGGGCACAAGCGCTTCATGGAGCACCTCAAGGCGGACCCGTCTGGCGCGTCGTGCTCCGCCGTGGTGGCGAGCCACCGCGCCACCGACGCCACGTTCCGCAACGGGACCGCCGACGCGCGCATGCTCGACGTTGTGGCCCGCACTTGCTGCAAGCAGTGAATTCGATTTCGATTTCAGTATTGGTCTCTCTGTCGAGCGCGGAGAGGCCGTGCGTGCCCGGAAACGATGGAGTGCGACGCAGTTGGGGTGTGTTTGTGTTTTTTTCCTCTTTAAAATTTGTGTGGCTAAAACCCGTGTGCCATTTTCTCATCGAGATCAGAATCTCGCGCCAAACTCGTGCAATCTCCCCCAATCTCAATCGCGCACTGTGGGGCACGAACACAGTGGAGACGAACCCACCCGCCTCCCCTACCCCACGTTACCCGAACCCACCCTCCCCCGCTGTGCGCAGGCAGCCGGCCGCCCGGCGGGTGGGGCGAGAGGGGCGGCGGCGGGATCGCGTCACCCGGGGGAGTGCGGCGGAGTCTGGGCACGCGCGCCCCCGCGCCGCAGACTGCTGCTGGCTGCGAGGATGGCGTACGGGGCGGTCTGGTCGCGCTGTGGACAGGGACGCCGCGCCGGCCCTCGCGCGAGCTGCTCGACCACGCCTTCGATGCGATGGAGACGATCGCCGCCGAGACGCTCATCGCCGCCGAGACCTTCGCTCCGCTGCAGGAGACTCCACACAACACAAAACACACACACACACACACACACACACACACACACACACACACACACACACACACAACTCACACTCACACTCACACACACACACACACACACACACACACACACACACACACACACACACACACACACACACACACACACACACACACACACACACACACACACACACACACACACACACACACACACGCCGCTCACCCACGCGCATGTTCGTTGGTTCCATGTTCTCTCTGACTCTGTTGGGTCTGTGTCTTATTTTGTCACTTATTCGCTCCTACACTGAGTTGAGCCTCTCTCTATAAAAAGCCCTCTCTCTTGCACCTTTCATAGACTATGGCGCGCGTAGCTATATGACAGGCAGGGCCACCGCGGCCGCGGAACCGGTCGGTGGCGGACAGGGCTGGTGCGCCCGGCCACCGTCGTGCTGCCGGGGTCGGGTGGGAAGGGGGATGCGCAGCGGACGCTGGAATAGCTCCAATCGCGCGCCACTGGAAGACGCGGTGATGATAGCTTGGGGCCTCCTAGAAAGAAAAGAAAATCGACGGCAACTGGCGCCGGCAGAGGCCCCTATGTGTATGTGGCTGCTCCCGGCCGCTTCGCTCGCCTTTGCCTCCCCCCGCTCCTGCCCAGGCAAGGCCGGCCGACACAGCATCCAGCCGGTTGCGAGCGTCGAGCGGATCTGCGAGGCCGACAGTCTCGCCGGTCGTATCGAGGACGCGGTGTGCTCTGTCTACGGCGCGGAGAAGACTGCGCGTGTGCGCGCCTCGCTGGCGGAGCTGGCGGCGGGCCGAGAGCATCGAGAGGTGCTCGATCCGTCGCACCCTCTGATGGTGCAGGAGGCCACCTCATACGTCGCCGGCCTGCCGGCGACTGCGTGGCACGACGCGAGCCTGCACAAGTGGGCGCGCAAGCTGGAGGACAAGTGGCAGGTGGTGCGCGATGAGCTCGCGGCGTGGCTGGCCGACTCGGAGCGGCTCGCCGCACAGGGGTCGGGAGTGTGGGCGGCGACGGCTCCCGGCACGTATGGACCCGGTTGGAAGACGTTGCCGCTCTGTGACCGGTGAGGCAGCTAGCTGGCAGCGGCACAGCGACGCGGACACGGACACTGACACGACCCGTCGCCCGGCCTGGTGCAGGACCGTGTGGGACGACACCAACGCGGCGCTCTTCCCGCGCACCTGCGAGCTCCTCCACTCTGCAAAGGCGAGACGCAGCCGAGAGATTCGGTCGAGATCTCGGCGTCGGCGAGATCTCGGCGAGATCTCGCGAGATAGCTCTCCTCCACGTCGCGGGAGGCGGAGGGAGGCGGAGGGAGGCGGAGGGAGGCGGAGGGAGGCGGAGGGAGGCGGCGTCGGAGCAAGCTCGTCTCCCCTCCCGATCTCTTCTCGGCGAGATGTCGGCGAGATGTCGGCGAGATGTCGAGATATCGGCCGCGCCCCTGCCGCAGGTGCCAGTGGTGGAGGCCTTCTTCTCGTCGATGGCTCCGAGGTCGACGATCGCACCGCACTCGGACGGGTGCAACTTTGTGCGCGCGGCGCCCCGCGGCACCGCCTCCTCCTTGCGGCGGCCCCCCACCTCGCCCCGTTGCCGCGTGCAGGTGCTCACCGCCCACCTCGGCCTTGTCGTGCCTGAGGGGTGCGAGCTCAACGTGGGCGGAGAGCGCAGGCCCTGGGCAGACGGAAAGGCGATGCTCTTCGACACGTCCATCCTGCACGAGGCAACACACACACACACGCACGCACACACACGCGCACACAACACACCAGTGCTCGCCACCGCCGGCCACGCCGCCACACCCACCCGCCGCCACACTTCTCCTTCCCGCCGCCCAGGCGCGCAACGACGCCGACTCGACGCGCTACGTGCTGATGCTCCGCGTGTACCACCCCGGCCTCTCCGCCCTCGAGCGAAAGGCGATGCAGCTCGTCTTCGACACGCTCGACGAGCCGGTGCCGCCGACCGCGCGCGACACGTGTCTCCCCGCCGCCCTCCCTGACGCGTCCCTGACACGTCCCCAGGAGCTGCTCGCCGACCCGGCCGCCCTGCGCGAGTACGACGCGCGGCGCCGCGCGCTCGAGGCGGCGTCGCGGGCGCCATGGGAGCAGGCGCTCGCCGCGGGCAAGCGGAAAGGGGCGAAGGGCGGAAAGGCAAAGGGTCGCAGGCGATAATCCGGCACCGGCAGGCTCTGGTAAATACTTTTCTTTTCATGCGATAACCGTCTTTTGTGCTCACAAGACCCACGCAGAGGAGAGAAACCGGGTCACCGCGGCGCCCCGACGTGGGCCGCCCCCGCGCGACGCGCGTGTGTGAGCCGTGTTCCGCCCGTACCTCAGAGCCACCACCAGCACCATCAGCATCACGCAGTCGCGAAGGGGCTGCGGCTCATTAGCAGACCGAGGTGTTCAGGCTTGTACGCAAATTATCAGGGCCGCTCCGATAAATGTTTTTCAACCCTACAAAGGTTCCCCCGGCCCCGCCCACGGCCACAGCTAGTCAGAGCTATCCGTGTCGGCGTGTGGAGTCTGTGTGGTCGTGTGGGCGGCGCGGCATGACCGGCACCACCCACACGACTAGACGTTGAGGTCCTTGGTGAGCAGCGCCTGGAAGCGAACGAGGCTCGAGTGTGAGGCAGGCTTCAAGGGAACGGCTCGGCAAGGGGGCGGGGGATGGCAGGGAAGGCGAGGCTCACATGAAGCGCGAGTGGCCGCCGCCGGCGTGCTTGGCGACAAGAAGTCCACCCCGTTGATCAAGTTGTCGCCGGATTGAGGGCTGTGTTTCTCTTGATGAGGAGTAGGGGTGTCGATGGCAGATCTACAGCGTGCAACTACGAGCGAGCCTCACGGCCGATGTATCAGCCGGAACGCGCGCATCTCGCCCACCAAGAGCCTCACATCGTTCTTTCCGCCGTTCTCGTGCGCGTCGGTCAGACAACCGGCGGTGATAGTACCATCGGTCGCGACAGGTCAGCTCTCGAGGAGGGAATCAGCCCGCCAAGGTGAGCCGCGGATCGGCAAGAAAATTTGCAAAAGCGAGCTCGGCCATGAATATCGGCGAATCAGCTGGGAAAGCGAGCTCCCCAACCCTCCGACCACCCTCTGACCCGAGTAGGTCCCCCCAACCTTCTGAGTTCTGTGGCCCCCCCAACCTTCTGACCCGAGTAGGTCCCCACCTTCGACCCGAGTAGGTCCCCCAATTTTCCTCCGCCCCCGGGCGCGCGGGCGCGGCGTGAACCGTGATGTATGTACACATTCGCCTGTTCGCGTGTCTCACGGCCGCGCGCGGGATAGAGAGCCCTGGGTCCAGCCCAGGTCCAGCCCAGGTACGGGATGGACGGATTGGACGGGAACGGGATAACACGAAACAACACAGCTACACAGGCCACAGCGCCTCTTTCGGCACACAAATGACAAAAACACACGTCCTACAGCTCTCGCTCCCTGTACTGTGCTGGCTCTCACGCTCGCCCACCAATCCCACGGCCTCCCGCCCCCACGCGCCTGCCTGTGTCAGAGGGACCAGAGAGGGCGAACAGCAGAGCCAGAGGCGGGGTTGGGGCGAGGGCGGCGCTGTCCCGCCGCTGCCCTCGTGCGAGGCGGCGCCTCGCCGAGCGGGGCGAATGCGTGCCGCTCATGCCGCTTTGCCCTTCGCGCCGACCGGGTAGGGCGGCGGCGGGGCGGCGCGGCCGCGGAACTCGTCCATCGCGTCGAGGACTCCAAACCACTCGAGGCAGTAGTCGGTGATGGCGGGCGGGAAGATGCCTATGGGGCTGGGGCTGGGGTCAGGGCTGGGGAGGGGCTGGGGCTCGCGGAGTCGGTGATGGCGGGCGGGAGGCGTGCCCTTGAGCAGGGGCGCCAAATGGACGACGAGCGGCATGATGAGCATCGGCTGGTCGCACCGCACGGCGGAGACGATCTTCGAGGCGGCGTACTCCGGCTCGAGCAGCGGCAGCAGCTTTGGCCAGCGCGTCTGCACGCCCTCGAACATGCCCGTCTTGATGAAGAAGGGGCAGACGCAAGTCGTCTTGACGCCACGCTTGCCGAGCTTGCGCATCTCGAGCCGGATCGACTCGTCGAAGTAGACGGCCGCAGCCTTCGACGCGCAGTAGTCTGCGAGGCCTGGCGTGCCGCTCAGTCCGGCCGACGAGGCGATCGTGACGATGTGTCCGTGGTCCGCAGCCATCATCTGCGGGAGCGTCGCCTTGACGGTCCAAAAGTGCGCCTAGGAGGGCTCGGAGACGGCTCGGGCAAGGCTCCGAGAATGTTTCGCCCTCACGACCCCAAAAGAGTGCGCCGTCGCGTTCACTGCCATCGTGAGCTCCTGCAGCGAGTCGGAGCCGTCGAGCAGTTTCTTGCCCGTCACGATGCCCGCGTTGTTGACGAGGATCGTGCACGGGCCCGCCGCCTCGGCGGCCTGCGCCATCGCCGCGTAGGTCGCCTACAATATACCAATACAATGCAACCACAAGGATGTAAGGTCGGCCCGTGCCATCGCCGGGTAAAGGTTGCCTCGCGGTTGCTAAGGTCGACACAAATCGCGTGCACCGCTGCAGTCGAGCCCGCCCGCCTTGCCGCCGCCTCGACGGCTTTGCGCGCCTCGTCAAGCAGCTCGGCGGACTTGTCGAGCAGCACGAGGGTGGCGCCGGCGGCGGCGAACTTTGTCGCGATCAGCTTGCCGATGCCGCCCGCACCGCCCGTGAGCACGACGACCTCGCCCTGCACCGACTTCCAGAAGAAGCTCGGCGCGAGGAACGAGGCGACGTGCCGGCCGCAGTGGTACGGCAGCCAGACAGCGAGGTGGAGCAGGAGGCGTGCCACGGCCTGGGGCGAGGTGGTGACGCAGAAGAAGAGGACGACGGCGCCGAGCGCGGCGTAGAGCAGCATATGACTGTCTGTGGGTGCGGTCCAGAAACCTGCAGGCTGAATCAAATAGAAGAGATGTCGCCAATCACCAAACCCATCAAGCGAGCGAGAAACAAACCCTGACGTTACGTAGGGTGTACCTCAGAAATGTGGTCCTTGCGCGAGGGGAGCTCGATAGACTCGAGGGGCCAGGATACGCCGCGAGGAGGACGGAGTTGCGCCGAAAGGCGAAAGAAGCCGCGAGAACAAGGGACCGGCAGGCGGCGGCGTCGCAGGACGAGGCAGATGGGGTGGTGCACGACACGCATTGGGAGGAGCCGAGTGCAGTGGCGAGCCAGAGGCTACCTGGGTCACCATGTGGTGCTCCTTGCCTGTTCTGAGCAGGGCTGTGCTCTGATGGGGCTGTGCTTGACATGTGTGAAGTGGGAGTGCGTGCCGGCGGCGTGTGAGAGTGAGAAAGACGTGTGTATGAGGCCATAAGAGCTGTGGTATGAGCCAGAGTGAGCTTCATGACCCAAGATAAGTGCGGTTTGGGACACATCTACACGCCTCCTGGCAGGGCTGGGCCGGCAGAGCGACAGGGAAGGCGAGGTGGTGAGCTGACAGGCTGGGGAGTCGGCTTGTGTACGTGTCGCGACGACCTGCCACGAAGCGTTGTTTGCGGCTATTGCTCAAAACCTTGGGAGAGAAGGCCTACATATTATGACTGCACCCATTGCCCTGGTGCATGAGGGCTGCGGGACGGGACATATCACGGTCGGTGGCACCGATAATGACCTCCGGAATGCCCTCGCAATCGCCTCGGATAGGGTCCACCAGAGACAATCTCGAGCCCTCTCCGTGGAATCACGAGCCGGTGTGAGCTTGAAGACCCGAGGTAAGTGCGGTTTGAGACACCTCAGGCTTGCTACTGATGGGCCTGGGCCAGGAGAGCGGCAGAGATGGCGAGGTGGTGAGCTGGGAGCAGGAAGTAGCGCTTCGTGGCACTTTCATCGCGACAAGGTCACACGCGGACTCTCCAGCCTCTCAGCTCGCCAGAGCTTCCCGGCGGTGTCGCGCTGCATGGGCCAGCAGGGTGCAGTGGCGAGGGGCGGCGGGCTCGGACGTCCACCGAGTCGCTCCGCGCGAGGCGGAGCGCGCGCGCGGGCCAGGATCCCAGGAAGGAAGCTCTCGGCAGGCTGAAGAGGACATCCATCCTGCGCTTATTGCGGGCGGGCGGGCGGGGCGGGATCCACTTTGTATTCGCCACACGCCTCCCTACCGGTATACATACCGGGGGAGGTATTTCAAGTCTTTCCGCTGCCGCCTTTCTGATTGCCCCCCCTCGGACAACCTTTCGCTTCACACACGGTGCCAAGGGCACAAACAAGAAAGAAAGAAAGAAAGAAAACAGACAAGCCAAGGGCACAAACAAGAAGAAAGAAAGAAAGAAAACAGGCACCCAAAGGGAGGGATGGCACAAACAAGAGCACAACAAACGCTGACCAGTAAATTCTTTTTCTGGGCAGGTGCCGCTCATGGCGGACGAGGAGGTTTGCCCCGTCTGCCACGACCCGCTGGGCGACGCGCCCAAGGCCGTGCAGACGCTCTGCGGCCACATCTACTGCGCCGACTGCCTGCTCGAGTGGCTCCAGCAAGCCAAGCGCTGCCCGCTCTGCAACGCGGAGGTCAAGCCGGGAAAGCAGGAGCGCGGAGAGAGCGTGCGAGACCGTTGTCACAGACTGCCACAAAGCCCGGGTTCGCGTCGCCTCATACTCGCCAACTTGGGGAGCTTGCGCCGTAGGACCTTCGCTCGCTCGCGCCCATCCGGGGAGGGCTGCGCGTGCAGGACGGCGCCGCGGAGGAGGCGGCCGCGAGGCGGATCGCAGAGATCAAGCGGCAACGCCACGCTGACGAGGCGGTCGCCGCACGGCTGGAGTTGGCGGCACGGCGGCTGCTGCTGCAGCGCCAGCAACAGCAGCAGCAGCAGCAGCAGCAGCAGCAGCAGCAGCAGCAGCAGGCGGCGGCAGCGGCGGCAGCGGCGGCGGAGAACCAGCGTGAGAATGCGCCGCCGCCAAACGTGCCGCCGTCGGCCGCGCCCCCCGAGCCGCCTCCAGCGGCGCCGCCAGCCGCAGCCGGCGGCGGCTGCAGCTCGCTCGTCCGGCCGCCCGCCGCGGGGGCCAGCCACGCACTCAGCGCCACTGCTGCCCTCGACGGTGCTCTCGCTGCTCCGCCGGGCGCGCGAGACGTGGCGGCCGGTGGCGGCAGCTCGGCCGCCACCCCCGCCTGCCGGGAGGGGGCCGGCGGCGGCGGCGGCGATGGCGGCGGCGGCGGCGATGGCGGCGGCGGCGCCGGCTCGCGCGGGGGCTTGACTCCGGCCCAGCTGGCGCAGATTGCGGCCAACCGCGCGGCGGCGGAGGAGAGGGCGCGGCAGCGGAGGATGAGGGAGGAGCGGGCGGGGGTGGGCTGAACGCCGCTCGTTATTTTCTCTATTTTCCTTGGCTTCCCGCTGCTGGCCCCGCCAAAGTGCCGCGACGAGCCGCGACGACGCGGCCTCGTTTTTGCTGAATGACACAGGCTAGTGCCATTTCACTCTGACACGCTAATCTTGAAAACGCGTCCAACGGAGCTCCGTGTTGCTCCCAGCGGAATGCCCCGCGCTTCCTGCGGCCATGGCCGATGATACTAGTATGAGAGGTCATCTGGCTACCGCGAGCGCGACTCAACTCGCCGACGTCGTCCGATGATTGTGCCTCAAAGTCAGCCTTCGGAGGCTATCGTGGGGTCGAGCCGGCAGTAGCCGTGACATGTGGTTCCACCACCCCTCGCAGGCTTTGCCTCTGACCGCCACCGTTCCCAGGCTGCCTAATGGGATGGAAAGGAAGGCTCGGCGAGCGTATAGAAGCGTGCTCGACCTCGTCGTGGCAACCTGTATGGCACAGCGCTGGCAAGTGCGATGAGCGTCGTGCCACCTGACCCGAGACGGGTCGCAGGCGTCGTACCGAGCGTGTCGAGACCGTGTCCTGATGTGATCTGCACGGGTGAGTCACGTCGGCGTCAAAGGAGCGACGTGCGACCTGTCAGAGCTTGATCTCCGATCTCAGCGACGTCGAGTCGTCTCCGGCGCGCAACAAAGGTACATACCCAGGACGCGCAGAGGCAGCTGCGACCCCGCCGAGTAGACGGCGGCACACAGCGCCACCTGCTGTGTGCCGCCGTCCACTCGGCGGGTTCGCAGCTGCCTCTGGAAGGCACCGAGATGTACCTTTTTGCGCAAATGGTCAAATCAAGGTTTTGTAACGCGAGCTGTGCCACAGTGAAATGGAACTAGCCACAGCCGGCGCGAACCACTGCCGGGTGATCTATCAAATATCGCCACCCGGTAACCCGGAAACGACATTTCGCCGCACCGCCACCGGGTGATCTCTGCGAGGCAAAAAATCGCTCACTCCGGGTCGGATCTGGAGAGACACAGGGTGATGCGCGGGGAATCATCCTCGTGCGCCCCATCCACGCACTGCCGTCCCTCTTGCGTGCCGCTTATCGGGACGGGGCACGCGTGTTGCGTGTTGGGCTGATTGGGCCACGGGGCGCCGGCTTCGCTCCGTGCTGTGTCGCTGCCGCGCGGCGCTATACAGTTCCGCCGACTAAATGATTTTCGGCCGGCCGCAGGTCGGGCTGGACGCGGCTGTTTCAGCCGGCGGTCGGGGTCGGACACCAGCTTTGTCGGCGCGTCAGCGCCGAAGAAAATTTTGGGAGATTTTCTTCTTGATTTCATCAAAAATCCTGAAACTTCGCGAGGTGACTGAAGAGATCGCATCTCGCAATTCTCTGAATTTTCTCTACAGCACCCTCTCTTTTCCTCTATTTTCCCGGGGAAACCATCAAATTTTCTGGGCTCTGAGCCGAGTCTGAGGCTGGTTTGGGCCCAAAATCAGCCAAATCGGCAAAATACCGGGTATTTTGCGGGTATACCTGGAAACCCCCGGGTATACCTGGAAAATACCCTGCGACCGCCTGGGTATCGTGCCGATTTCCTCAATTTTGCCTCAGATTTTGCCCCAGACCAGCTCTCAGACTCAGGGAAACTCGAGAGTTTCCAGAATGGAGCACCAAACACCCTCTGTTTTCCCTGGAAATTTCCGGAAACGCAAAGTGCTGGCGACCTTCTGTTTTCCTTTTTGTTTGCCGGAAAAGTATGTTACGGTAATAGCGACGGACTCGGCCACGTATCTAGACAAACGCGGGGAGCGCGGGAGATCAAGAAGAAGGATCGGGCAACGGCACCCGTCACTATTATCATATCACGCCCAGTTCCAGCCGACAAGGGGTCCCTCGCTGCATGAACGGCGTTTAACCGTGAAAAAAGAATTGGGTCAAAGATGTCGTACGACGCGGAGCGCGTTGCGTTGGCGCGAGCAGTCGCCGCCCAAGTGGCTCAGCGCCGCAGCACCCGGAGCTTCACTGACTGTGGAGGCGTCTGCCGCCAACGGCCGGGATGTGACGGATGCGAGGTGTGCCGTCTGATCCTCGCGCCGCCATCGCCTGCAGCACGCACGGGCCGTACTTCACCACGCCCTGTCCCACGCCCTGTCAGGAGCGCGAGCGCCTGTTCGTCGAGGGTCAGAACGCCAAGTGTGAGGCGGCGCTTGCCATGTGGCAGGCGGGTGAGTGCAGCCGCATGGATGCGATTGAAGCGATGCCCGACCGAGCGTGGGGAACGGAGCGCGCCGAGCAGTGGTCTGGCATCCTCGGCGACCGAGGCACCGGCGATGACCAGATTGCGCGGACAAAGTTTGGCTTCAACCTCAACGTGACGGGCGCCGCGTGGACGACGTGCGCGTGCGAGGCTGTGATCGGCACCGTGATGCTCGTCTTCGACTCGGACGTGTTTCTCTCGGTTGCGCAGGACAACTTCGACGGGCGCGGCGACGCGAGCCTGCTGCGATTCGACCGGGCTGAGCTCGAGGCGGCCCAGCGCAGCTTCAGCCGCCCCCCGTCCGAGTGGTTCTCGGGCGCGCCCCACCACCCGCCCCGGCTCGTCCTTCCGCGCGAGCACGAGGGCATTCCTTCGCAGAAGAAGTCCGAGCGCTCGCTCGGCTGGCACCTGGTCGCTTATGAGGAGCTCATCCGGCGGCACGGCCCACTGGTGGCCGCCACCCTCATGGAGGACTGCAAGTACGAGAGCGAGTATGGGTCCAGCGGGCACCCCACTTACGGCTACGCGGACCCGACCAATGGCAACATCGTCGCCTTCGAGCCAACGTCCGGCGCCAGCAGCGGCCTCGGGCGCAGCGGCTTCTCCACCATCCGCCTTGCGCCGGTCAACGCGACGCTCAGCTTCGCCGAGATGAACGAGAACCACGCCCGCGCGTGCCGCGTGCTCATGGAGGTGCTCTGGCGCAACGTGAAGGAGCTGTACGCGGACTTCGACGAGCGCTACACCAAGCACCGCATCGTCCACTCGATCCACCCGTACGAGCGCGAGGAGGTGGCCTTTGAGCGGTGCGGCGCGGGCGCCTCGCCGCAGAGCGCGTGGCGATGCGCCACTTCCACGCGTCCATGCGCACTCTCGTTGAGCGCGGCCGTGCGACACCGATCCGCACGACGCGCCGCAAGGACGGCCAGGACCGCCTCGTCTTCCTCTACCGCGACACATCTGTCGACGTCTTCCGCAAGGTTGTCGACTTTGCCCTCCCGCCCAAGCCCGCACCGCCGCCGCTCGACCCGAGGGAGTCGAGCCTCACCGGCGGGCGCGTGTCCGACGGTGGGGGCTGTGTCGTCATGTAGATGATGACACGCCTCCACCGCAACCAAGCTCGGTAACGGGCAAAAAAGGGGGAGAAACGTGTCGCGTGTCGAGCGCGCGCGTTGGCGATGGCGGGAGGTGCGGGGGGACGCGGGAATGGCGCGCGGTGTTGTGGCGGCTGTGTGGGGCACACGCACAATCGTCCCTAGCGTCAGCAGGGCCGAGGGAGAGCGCGGGCGCGAACGGTGTCTTTCAGTCCAGCCCTGTGGAGGTGTGGACCCAGCTTCGCATGTTCACATACATGCACATTCCACAAACGGGCTACTTACGGATATGACACACCGCCACTGCGTCGAGCGCGCGGCATTGACGCTCCCTCGTCCAGCCGCAGCCCGAGCCTCGAGTGTGCCGAATGCAGTATGCACCACCACAGCGCTCAGCGGCGCGCCGCCCGGCCACCGTCCGTTCTCAATGTGGCCCGCCGGCGCCCCTTCGTAACGGCAGTACATGTGAGCGTCCAGGCTGGCCGTGTGCGCGTCCATGCCGGAATGGTCTCCATGGCAGGCTTCAGATCTGATCCTGGGTGAACATCTCTCGCTCTCGAGCGCCGACGTCGCATATGGCAGGTTCAGCGAGGTCATGATCATCCGCGTTGCCCCTTTGGTGCCTCGGCTGGACACCAAGACGCAGCATATGGAGGCAGGCACGCTGGAGCGACACACAGACACACACTCTCACATAAACGCACAACCCGGGCCCGAAATCGCTCACAGAGACAGTCACGCAACACGGGGTCCCAGGGAAGGCGAGCAAAAACCTTATCACACCCTCACTCAAAAAAAGCACGGCCCTTTTTTTTGCACTCATCGCGCCACCACCCTTGGCAGCACAAAGCCGCGCCAGACGTCCGCCAGCTCCGGAGCCGCTCCCTCGCGGCTGTCGAAGCGCTCCTCGTCCCACGCGATCAGGTAGCCCAGCCGCATCACCTCGACCGCCCACTTGCGAGCCGCCTCCGGGAAGAGCTCGTGCGACTGCGGCGACCACTCCGCCGCCGTGCCTGCCCACCTCCACCGCCTCGGCCGCTGGCTGCAGGTTGGCCGGCCTGAGGGAGGGCAGAAGCGTGGGGTGTTCTGAGAGAGGATCCGGCGAGTGGGGGAGAAGCCATGGCGCGCCTCAGTGCGAGTGCCTTGGCCTCGCCCGCCAGGCGGAGACGACGACGCCGACCTTGCCGTTCATCGACGGCCGCGAGACGAGAGAGATTGGATCGCGACAGTGGAGCCGGCGGCCGCAGCGGTCGGATCCGACTCGCTCCACGAGCAGAGGACGCGCGCCCGCTCGAAGGCCGACGGCTCGCCGGCCGAAGAGTCCGCGCCGCCGCGCAGCAGAGCCCGCGCCCGCTCGACGATGAGCGCCTGCGGGAAGAGGGACAGTGAGCGTGAGGACAATGCATTCACGCCGCTAGTCTCGGGCACGCCTCGAGGTGCTGGAGCGGCGTCCAGTCGCGGCTGGCGACCAGCCAGGCGGCGAGGTCGGCGTGGCCTTCGCGGTTTGCGGCCTCCTCAGGCCTGCCGAAGGGCGTTGCGGCGCGGGAGGCGCCGAAGGAGGAGAGGAGCTTGGCGACCTCGAGGTGGCCATTATGGCACGCGGCGAACAGCGGCGTGGCGCCATTCTCATTGGCCTGGTCCGTCGCCGCGCCGGTCTCGAGGAGCAGCCGGACGCACTCGAGGTGGCCCTGCTGGCACGCGATGTACAGCGGCGAGAAGCCTCTCCGTCAGCAGCTTGGTTGAACGCCGCGCCAGCGTCGCGCAACAGCCGGGCGCACTCGAGGTGGCCATTCTGGCACGCCACGAGCAGTGGCGTGGTACCGTCATCCTTGGCTTGGTTGATCGCCGCGCCCGCCTCGAGCAGCAGCCGGGCGATATCGACGTGGCCCTCCTGGCACGCCATGTACAGCGGCGTGGCGCCGTCGTTGCGGGCTTGGTTGGGCGCCGCGCCAGCCTCGAGGAGCAGCCGGGCGGTGTCGAGGTGGCCCTGCTGGCACGCGATGAACAGCGGCGTGGAGCCGTCCTCCGCGGCTTGGTTGAACGCGGCGCCAGCGTCGCGCAACAGCCGGGCGCACTCAAGGTGGCCATTCTGGCACGCCATGAACAGTGGCGTGGTACCGTCATCCTTGGCTTGGTTGATCGCCGCGCCCGCCTCGAGCAGCAGCCGGGCGGTGTCAGCGTGGCCCTCCTGGCACGCAGCGTACAGCGGCGTGGCGCCACTGTTCGCGGCTTGATTGATCGCCACGCCAGTCTCGAGGAGCAGCCGGGAGATCTCGAGGTGGCACGCGATGAGCAGCGGCGTGTAACCATCCTGCTTGGCTTGGCCGACCGCCGCGCCAGCCTCGACGAGCAGCCGGACGATTTCGAGGTGGCCCTTTAGGCACGCGATGAACAGCGGGGTGGCGCCATCATCCGCGGCTTGGTTGGGCGCAGAGCCAGCCTCGAGGAGCAGCCGGACGCACTCGTGCTGGCTGGTCTGGGACGCTGACGCCTCCATCATCAGCAGCTTGGCCGACCACCGCGGGAGTCAAGTGGAATTCTCTTTCAAGTGCACACCTGCGTTAGGTGCCAGTGCGCAGGTAGGTAGGTAGAAAGGTGAAGAACAGCCAGGCTCGGACTGGACACCAACGCGGTATGGGTGGACGCTAGACAGATGATGACGACACGCACGAGCGACACACAGACACAAACAGGCTCACAAGACACACAGCCAGCGGGCTGCCACACACCCTGAGTAGGCGTACACATAACTCAAGGCCACATCCTCCCTGTCGCCCCCCCCAGCACTCCAAGGTGCCAAGAGAACAAACAAGGGCACAACAAACAACAGACAACAGGAAGTGACATGCGAGGCTAGAGCAGGCTTGCTCTACCTCCAGCAATCTCTCCGGCCGGCGAGGCACGGACGAGACCGTGTGTGTGTGGGGTCTAGTGAGGTGTCTATGGACGCCCTCCTCAGAGGCTAGAAGCTGCCAACTGCTAGCCCTATCTCGCACTCACAGGTGATGACAATCCAATGTATGAGTGTATGCGAGCAGAAGCGCGTGTGCTAACCCTAGCCGCAGGGTAAAATTCTCTTTCAACACACGCTCGGCTACGAGCCCGGCTGCTACGCTCACTTCGCCGCATCGCGCCATGGCTGGGGCGCCCGGCCCCTCTTCTGCTGCGATCGACGACGAGGCGCTGCGCGAGCTGCGGCCGCTGCAGTTCCTGGTTCCGGACGAGAAGCGCGCCGCTTGGTGCGGCCGCGCGGCCGCAAGCCTCTTTGGGTGGGGCAAGCAGCTCGAGCCTCGGCCGCTCGGGCCTCTCGAGGCGCTTGCGCTCGGCGGCTTTGACGAGGAGCAGGTATGGCAGCAGCTCGAGCTACGCAACAAGCCGCTGCTCCGGTGTGCCTGGCCGCCACCTCCTCGGCGGTCGTGGACCGAGCGGACCGATGGCATCGCCCGCCCTGTGCACCCGCAGGTACGTGCAGACGAGTTCGCGGCGGCTGCGGCCAGCGCTCGAGAAGGAGGACTCGGAGGATGCAGCGTCCACGGGCACTGGCGACGACGAGGAGGGCGAGGAGCAGAGTGGCGAGGAGGAGGGAGAGGAGGAGGGCGAGGAGGAGAGCGGCGAGGAGGGCGAGTACGAGGGCGAGCTCAGCGAGGGCGAGGGCGCCGAGGACGGCGAGGACGAGGACGAGGACGAGGACGAGGACGAGGACGAGGAGGGGGCGGCTGCGGCGGTGGAGGGTGAGAGGAAGGGGATGGGGCGCGGAGAGGAGGGCGGCAAGAGGAGGAGGCTGGAGCAGCTGATGGAGGAGATGGAGGCGTTCGCAGAGGACGACGCCGAGTACGAGGGCGAGGAGGCGGAGGCGATGGCCGAGCTGTACGGCGACGGGCTGAGCGACGAGGAGGAGGACGAGGAAGAGGAGGAGGGCAGCGAGGACGAGGGCGGCGAGGAGGGCGAGGAGGAGTTCAGCGAGGAGCAGAGTGGTGAGGAGGAGGAGGGTGAGGAGGAGGGGCTGGGGGAGGAGGAGGAGGCGGGCGAGGAGGAGGAGGAGGAGGACTACTACGAGGGCGAGGCGGACGAGGGGTCGAGCGGCGAGGACGAGGAGGGCGAGGCCGAGGCGCGCCTCTCTCGGCACGAGGCGCGCTCAAAGCAGCTAGCAGAGAAGCTGTCGGAGCTCGAGCACGCGCAGCTCGCAGAGAAGCCGTGGCAGCTGCGCGGAGAGGTGAGCGGGCAGCAGCGGCCGGCCAACTCGCTGCTCGAGACGGTCCTCGACTTCGACCAGCCCGGCGCCGCCGCAAAGGCGAGCGAACTGCCCGCGCGCCGCCCGCGCCCGGCCCTGCCCGCCCCACCGGGAGCCGCGACCCACTCCCAGCCCCACCGCCTCTCAATGCGCGTTCGACTCGGATTGTCCGACCGCAAGCCCGCCTGTCCGCCCGTCCCGTCCCCAGGCGGCGATGGCGCCGAGCGAGGAGTCGACGCGCTCCATCGAGGAGGTCATCCGCGCGCGCTGCAAGGACGGGCTGTGGGACGACGTCGTGCGGCGCGCCGCGCTCAAGCCGACGGACTTCCGACCCAAGCCGGCCGACCTGTCGCTCGAGAAGAGCGACAAGGGGCTCGGCGACGAGTACGCCGCCGCCTTCGAGACGAACGCGCGAAGCTCCGAGGAAATGCCGCGGACGCCGCTGAGCAGTGTCTCTTCACGCCTGCCGCTGCGAGCAGGTGCTCGGCTCCAAGGGAGCGGACGCGGTGGCCAAGGCGCACGAGGAGGCGCGCGCACTGCTCGCCAAGCTCGACTCGCGCCTCGACCCGCTCTTCTCCTTCCACTACGCGCCGCCCCCCGCGAAGCGCGAGGTGACCATCCGCACCGAGGCGCGGCCGCCGTCTCGCTCGAGGAGGCTGCCGCCTCCAAGTCCTCTCCCAGACCTCTCCCGGACCCCCCCCCCCAGGCGCCCGCCGTCTCGCTCGAGGAGAAGGTGCCGACGGCCCTCGCCGCGAGCTCGACGCTGGCCCCCGAGGAGGTGTACGGCCGCAAGCGGAGCGACAAGGCGCTCGCCGACCGCGCAGAGCTCTCGCAGGGCGAGCGGAAGGCGCTCCGCTCAAAGAAGAAGCGCGTGCACAAGCGGCGCACGGCCGAGAGCGCCGAGCAGCGGACGCTGCGCGCCGAGGCGCAGCCAGGCGGCGCGGCGGCGCGCCGGCAGGAGGCGGATCGGGTCGGGGAGCAGCTGGCCGAGGCCAAGCGGCGCGGCACAATCACGTCGGGGCCTCTCTCGAGCGGGAAGCAGCGCGGCCGCAGCTCGTCCAAGGCCTTCTTCAGCAGCATGCAGGCCGCGAGCCAGGCGCCCGGCGGCCTCGCCGGCTCCAAGCGGCAGCGCGTCGCCGACGCCCGAAAGGCGGCGCAAGGGGCAGGGGCGGCGGACGGCGCCTCGTTCAAATTGTAGAAGCTACACGACGCGGGAGGTGGACGCTGGATCCAGAGAGGTGCGGAGACCGAGAGGCTCTTTTTTGGTACGTTGTCAAAAGGGAAGTGCTGCAGGCCAGACGAGGGGCACGCCCACACACGCACGCGTGTGGTCGCTGGCTACACAGTACACTAAGCCGTTGCGGTTGCACAGGGGCAACGGCAAGACCCCCTGCTGGGGGTTTGGCCCTCTCACTGAAACCCCCGTGCGGAACGAGAAGTCATCGCACCACCACCCTTGGCAGCACAAAGCCGCGCCAGATGTCCGCCAGCTCTGGAGCCGCTCCCTCGCGGCTGTCGAAACGCTCCTCGTCCCAAGCGATCAGGTAGCCCAGCCGCATCACCTCGACCGCCCGCTTGCGAGCCGCTGTTGGGAAGAGCTCGTGCGACTGCGGCGACCACTCCGCCGCCTTGAGGATGAGCCTGCCCACCTCCACCGCCTCGGCCGCTGGCTGCAGGTTGGCCGGCCTGAGGGAGGGCAGAAGCGTGGGGTATTCAAGAGAGGATCCGGCGAGTGGGGGAGAGACCATTGCAGTGCGCGCCTCAGTGCGAGTGCCTTGGCCTCGCCCGCCACGCGCACGCCGAAGCGGGCCGTCGAAGCGTTGGCGGAGACGACGACGCCGACCTTGCCGTTCATCGACGGCCGCGAGACAAGAGAGCGGATCTCGACTGTGGAACCGACGGCCGCAGCGGTCGGATCCGACTCGCTCCACGAGCAGAGGACGCGCGCCCGCTCGAGGGCAGAAGGCGCGCCGGCGAGCGGGTCGGCGTCGCCGCGCAGCAGCGCCCGCGCCCGCTCGACGGTGAGCGCCTGCGGAAGAGGGGCAATCCGCGTGAGGACAACGCGCTCACGCCTTCGGCCGCTAGTCTCGGGCACGCCTCGAGATGCCGGAGCGGCGTCCAGCCGCGGCTGGCGACCAGCCAGGCGGCGACGTCGGCGTGGCCGCGGCTGTTTGCGGCCTCCCCGGGCGTGCCGAAGGGCGTAGCGGCGCGGGAGGCGCTGTAGGAGGAGAGCAGCTTGGCGATCTCGAGGTGGCCGAAGTGGCACGCAGCGAACAGCGGCGTGGCGCCTTCCTCATCGGCCTGGTCGATCGCCGCGCCAGCCTCGAGCAGCAGCCGGGCGACCTCGAGGTGGCCGCCCTCGCACGCGATGGACAGCGGCGTGGCGCCATCCTGCTTGGCTTGGTCGATCGCCGCGCCAGCCTCGAGGAGTAGCCGAACGCATTCGAGGTTGCCCTTCTGGCTCGCGATGTACAGCGGAGTGGCGCCATTCTGATGGGCCTGGTTGACCGCCGCGCTGGCCTCGAGGAGCAGCCGGGCGATATCGAGGTGGCCCATCTGGCACGCAATGAGCAGCGGCGTGGCGCCGTCGTTGCAGGCTTGGTTGACCGCCGCGCCAGCCTCGAGGAGCAGCTGGGCGCACTCGAGGTGGCCGTTCTGGCACGCGATGAACAGCGGCGTGGTGCCGTCGTCCCTGGCTTGGTCGGTCGCCGCGCCGTCCTCGAGGAGCAGCCGGGCGCACTCGACGTGGTTGTTCTGGCACGCCATGTACAGCGGCGTGGTGCCGTCGTTGCAGGCTTGGTTGGCCGCCGCGCCAGCGTCGCGCAGCAGCTGGGCGCACTCGAAATGCCCCTCCTGGCACGCAACGTACAGCGGCGTGAAGACTTCAGCGTCTGCTTGGTTCACCGCCGCGCCAGCCTCGAGGAGCAGCCGAACGCAGCCGATCTTGCCAGTCAAGCTCGCAGCACTCAGCGGCGTGGTGCCGTCGTTCATCGCTTGGTCGATTGCCGCGCCAGCCTCGAGGAGCAGCCGGGCGACCTCGAGGTGGCCGGTCTGGCTCGCGATGATCAGCGGCGTGCAGCCTTCAGCGTCTGCATGAGCCACCGCCGCGCCAGCCTCGAGGAGCAGCTGGGCGCATTCGAGGTGGCCCTTCTGGCTCGCAATGAGCAGCGGCGTGGCGCCGTTCTCCTTGGCCTGGTCCATCGCCGCGCCAGCCTCGAGGAGCAGCCGGACGCAGTCGAGGTGGCCCTTATAGCATGCGACGAGCAGCGCGGAAGCGCCGCCGCCAGTCGTCGCCCCGACGCTCGCGCCGCCCTCGAGCAGCAGCCGCACCGCCTCGGCCTGCCCGTGACGAGCGGCCCAGGTCAGCAGCGTGTCCTGCCTCTCGGTGTCGTGCCGCGCGTCGAGCTGGGCCGCGAGCGACGTGCCGTGCGTCCGCCGCCCGGAGAGGAGGGCGCGCAGCGAGGCCAGGTCGCCCCGAGCCAGGTCGGCGAGGGGGCCGGGGCTGTCCGCGCCGCTCATTCGGCGCCAGAAAGAAGAAAACCCGCGGCACGCGACCCCGGATTTTGAAAATGCCATTTTCTTTTTTCATCGGGCAGTTCTGGCAGATCGTTTTCTTTTCTCGCGATGTCCACCACGCTGCGCCGCCGCTCGCGCCGCCTTGCCTCCGCCGCCACCGCCGCGAACTCGCCAGTCGCGCCGTCGCCCGCCCGCCTGCTCGACCTCCCCAGGGACCTCCTCGAGCGCGCCCTCTCTCGCTGCGACAGCCCCGTCGACATCGCTCGCGTCGCAGCCGTCTCGCTCCTCTTTCACGCCTCGCTCGCGGAGCAGGGCATCCGCTTGTGGGCGCAAGAGCGCGGCTTCGAGCTGCCGGCGCAGCCGGAGGACGAGGGCTGCGCCGTGCGGTGGCTGTGCTTCGCTGCGTTGCTTTGCGAGTCCAACCCGCCAGCGAGGGCGGTGGCGGGCCACCAGCACAACCTTTTCATCGACGGCGAGGGGCGGCTCTCGTCGTGCGGCAGTGCGGCAGGCTGTCCCGGGCCACTACTCGGTCACGGCGTGGGCGTACTGCGGCTCAACACGCCCACCCGCCTCCCGCCTGCGCTGGGCGGCGAGCGCGCCGTGAGTGTTTCGGCTGGGGCCGGGCACAGCCTTGCCCTCACCGCCGATGGCGCCGCCTGGAGCTGGGGCTTTGAAGGGTGGGGCCGGTTGGGCCACGGCGACCATCAGCCCCAGTGGCAGCCGAAGAAGATCGAGGCCTTTGCGGGGCAGCGCGTCGTTGCTGTGTCGGCGGGAACTCAGCACAGCCTCGCCCTCATTGCCGATGGCACTATCTGGAGCTGGGGCGATGGATACTTTTGCCAGTTGGGCCACGGCAACACGCAGGACCAGCTGCTGCCGAAGAGGATCGAGGCCTTTGCTGGCCAGCGCGTCGTCGCTGTGTCCGCGGGATGCGACCACAGCCTCGCCCTCACCGCCGACGGCGCTGTCTGGAGCTGGGGCCGTGACGGTTTTGGCAAGCTGGGCCACGGCAACCAGCAGCGCCAGCTGCTGCCCAAGAAGGTCGAGGCCTTTGCTGGGCGGCGCATCGTCGCTGTGTCGGCTGGAGAGAACCACAGCCTCGCCCTCACCGCTGACGGCGCGGTCTGGAGCTGGGGCGATGGAGGTGGGGGCCAGCTGGGCCACGGCGACGAGCAGCACCAGTATCTGCCCAAGAAGGTCGAGGCCTTTGCTGGCCAGCGCGTCGCCGCTGTGTCGGCAGGACGCAGCCACAGCATCGTCATCGCCGCCGACGGCGCCGTCTGGAGCTGGGGCTGCGGATACAACGGCCGGTTGGGCCACGGCGACGAGCAGCACCAGCTGCTGCCCAAGAAGGTCGAGGCCTTTGCTGGGCAGCGCGCCGTCGCTGTGTCCGCGGGATGCGAGCACAGCATCGCCCTCACTGCTGGCGGCGCCGTCTTCACGTGGGGCAAGGGCGACGAGTCTCTCCTAGGACACGGAGAGGACCTGTCGGACCAGCTGCTGCCCAAGAAGATCGAGGCGTGTGAGCCGGGGCAGTGAGGTCGGGGCTGCGGAGTGGCCGAGCTGGCAGTGGAAGAGGGTGCGGTTGGCGGCGCACCGAGCGAGGCGGCCTCGGGAGGGGGAGGGCTAGGCCACGGAGAGGACACACCTGTCGAACACCTGTGACGCAGCGCGGGCGGTGCAGAGAGCCTGCTGCCATTAAGACTGAACTCTTTTAAGTGTGAGGTCCGCGGACACGAGCGATTAAAAGTTAAAAACTTTCTTGTTCCACAGTGCTTCACACCAACCCTGCCACTCTTCACACCGGCTCACGCGACTAGTGCCGTGGATGCGAGGGCCTGCATGGATGCGCGTTCGTGCTTTAGCGTGTTCTTCGTATCATTCGCGAGGTACTGCCAGCGTAGCTTATCGAGCTCCGTCTTCTCGAGCTCCGCTCTTAGGTCCTCACTCTCCTCCCTGAGCTCTGTCTGCATGGAGTCGCGTTCGGCTTTCGTCTTCTCGAGCTCCGCTCTTAGGTCCTCACTCTCCTCCCTGAGCTCTGTCTGCATGGAGTCGCGTTCGGCTTTCGTCTTCTCGAGCTCCGCTCTTAGGTCCTCACTCTCCACCCTCAGCTCTGTCTGCATGGAGTCGCGTTCGGCTTTCGTCTTCTCGAGCTCCGCTCTTAGGTCCTCACTCTCCACCCTCAGCTCTGTCTGCATGGAGTCGCGTTCGGCTTTCGTCTTCTCGAGCTCCGCTCTTAGGTCCTCACTCTCCTTCCTGAGCTCTGTCTGCATGGAGTCGCGTTCGGCTTTCGTCTTCTCGAGCTCCGCTCTTAGGTCCTCACTCTCCTTCCTGAGCTCAGGAACAATGATACGAAGCGTGTCCCGCTCTTCCACCACATCCTCCATTGCCGCGTCAAGCTCGGCCTGCATGGACACGCGTTCTTCCGCCGCATGCTTCGTTGCCGCGTCAAGCTTGACCTGCATGGACACGCGTTCTTGCGCCGCGTCCTTCCTTGCCGTATCAAGCTTGGCCTGCATGGACACGCGTTCTTCCGCCGCATCCTTGCAAACCTGCGAATACGACCACAGGAAATACGAGGTTGCAAGCATAAAGAGGGTAAGCGGCGCGTGGAACAGGTTTGAGGTGGTGTCGATATTGAGAAGCATCGAGGCGAGCAGCCAGAAGGCAGCCAAGAAGGCAGCCATAGAAGAGCCAAACATGAGAGTCGGTGTGCACCCGCCACGAGGACGTCCAAATTCCTTAGCCAAAGGCCACGCAGCGATTGTCGGTAGGATAAGTCATGTACATGGCGCTAAGAGGTTACTTTTTTACCTAGATGGCGCTAAGAGGTTACTTTTTTACCCACCGGGCCCAAGTCATGCCCACAGTCTGTTGAGATCACTCGAGACCACGTCGAGAGAGATCTCTACACTCTCGCGCGAGAGAGATCCTCGAGGCGAGATCACGCACAGGTAAATCACGGCTACGTCGCTCAGAGGTAGAGGTAAAGGGCCCACGGCTGCCCAGAGGTAAAGGTAAGAGGGCCGCAGGCCCTCAGAGGTAGAGGTAACCTAGACCCCTCCTACCCGGCCCTCCGCGCTCCGGGCCGAGAGGGGGAGGGCTAGGCAGGCCACGGAGAGGACACACCTCGTGTCGAACCACAGCCGTGCAGCACTGCCCCGCCTCTTTTGAATCGTCCGTGCGCGCCCTTCAAAATTCTTGACTGACACGAGCGACGAGAGACAGGGTGCGGTGTCGTGTGTGTGCATTGCGCACGTTGAAACAGAAAAACGGGCGGGGTTTAGAAACTTACCTATTTCGATAAAGTGAGTTCAAAGTGAGTTTCCCGCGCACGACCACGAGTAGCGCGACCAGGCTCAGAGACCAGGCCGCACTCCAGCGCGACCCCACCGACGCTATCTCGCTCACCGCCATCAGTCGACACCGAGCTCTCGGCCTTGCACCCCGGAGCTACCGCGATCGGCCCCTCCACCCCCCTCTAGGCGGCGGGCGGCACAAATGGCACCTCGTTTGCCCAGATCTCCTCGTCTCCGCCCGGCCGGCCAAGAGGTGGTGGTGGTAGTGGTGGTGGTGTGGGTGGGTGGGTGGGGGGGTCGGGGGGTGGGGGAGCTGCCTCTTGCGGATAAGCTGCAGGGCGCCGCTCGTGTCGAGCATCACCTCGGCCGCCTCGGGGAAGGAGTTGTAGTTCTTGGTCGACATCGAGGAGCATTACGCGCCCGCGCCTGCGCGGTGGGGGCGGAAGCGGCGGGCTTGCGCACGAGGGGGTGGGGGCGAGGGCGGGGGCAGGCGGGGGCGGGGCAGGGGCGGGGCCAGGGCGTGGGCGGGTGGCGGGTGGCGGGGGCGGGTGGCGGGTGGCGGGGACGGGTGCTTGTGTGTGTGTGTGTGTGTGTGTGTGTGTGTGTGTGTGTGTGTGTGTGTGTGTGTGTGTGTGTGTGTGTGTGTGTGTGTGTGTGTGGTGGTGATGGTAGTGGTGGTTATGTGTGTGTGTGTGTGTGGAGGGGGGGGGGGGAGGGGGCACCCTCCACGACGACCAAGTCGCCGATGGACGCGTCCCCGCCCAAATGCCTCCGCGAGAGGGTCTCCGGCTCGTCGGGCGCGGGCGTGACGAGGTCTCCGGACTCGCAGCAGTGGCCGACGATGACATACTCTCCGCCGGCCGCCTGTGGGGCAGGCGTGTCCCGGACGTGTCTTGGGCATATCCTGGACAGGCAGCCAGGCGCGGCGTGCTCTCTCCGCCGGGCGCCTTGGTGGCCGAGTCGGCGGCAGGGTGGTGCACGAGCACGGCCGGGTGCTGCGCGGTGCGCGCCTCGTGCGGGAAGGGCTGAGAGGGTTCCGAGAGGGTTCGGAGAGGGCTGCGAGAGGGCTCTGAGAGGGCTACGAGATGGTTCGGAGGGGTTCCGAGAGGGTTCCGAGAGGGTTCAGAGAAGGTTTTGAGAAGAAGGTTTTGAGAAGGTTCAGAGAGGCTCGGAGTAACGGAGAGGGGTTCCGAGATGCGAGAAGGCGTGCGCGCCCCCGCCCCCCGCGTGCCGCGAGAGGGAGAGGGCTAGCCATAGGTGGGAGTTTTGCACGGGGCGGAAAAATACTTTGTCTTGTATATGACTAGCGCCGAAGCACAAAAATATGCCCCACCCCGCGCAGATCCCATTGTGTGCATTAGAACCTCTCTCTGCCACTCTGGTACAAAACTTACTATGCACACGCCGCAGCTCACACGCAGCGCAAGAGCGTCGGGGACCCCTGACAAAGCTCATGGACACAATGGTAACAGTCATGCCAGTACGGAGAGCGGCCTCAGACTCCCCGGTTGGGCGCCGGCCGCAGCGGCGATGCCCCAGGCGACCGATCGCCCCGCCGCAGTGGCTGGCTCTGGCCATCGCCCCGCTTCTTCTTGGCGGCGAATGACTCGGGAGCCTGCGCCCTCGGCCGCTTCGCGTCCTCGCCCGGCACAAAGAACTCCTTCACGCGCTCCGCGTCGAAGCCGATGTCAAAGCCCTCGACGCCTATGCGCATCGAGTTGTGCGTTGGTGGGGGACGCCCACGCAGGGGGGTGGACGCGGCGCCGAAAGTCTCGGCGCCGAGCAGGTGCTGCTGGTCGATGTAGCCGATGCCGGCGCGACTCGCCGCCTCGCGGTCGACAAAATCGTACCCCACGAGGAGGGTGTCCTCCGCCGCCACGCCCGCCCGCGCCGCCGCATCGAGCAGCATGCCCGGCTGCGGCTTGCACCAGCGCTCGCTCCACTCCTCCTCGACGCTGCCCGCGGGTAGCTCGCCGCCGTCGCCGCGAGGCGCCGCGCTGCCGGGCGCGCGGAAGGAGATGAGCACGTCGAGCCGCTCGCGCAGCGCCTCCTCCTCCACGCGGAGCTCGCTCGCCTGTGGGACACGGCACGGACGCGTCACGGGACACGGCCTCGAGCGCCGCCTCCGCGCCCGCGCGGAGCTCGCTCGCCAGCCGCGCGACGAGCGCCGCCACAACCTCGCGCACCTTTTGGACGGGGAGCAGCTCTGCCTCGCCGGGGCGGCGCTTCGAGACGAGGTGGCCGATGCTGCTGACGAGGGCGATGCGCGGCGCGTCGGTCCGCAGCACGCCCCGCTGGGGCGGCCCGTCCCCGTACTGCGAGAGCGGGTCGTACGGGTCCTGCAGCTCGCCGTCGGCAGAGACGGGGAGCTCGAGCAGCAGCGCGCGGAGGAAGGGGACGCACGCCGCGTAGAAGGCGTCGTTCCGCGCCGCGCCCCACAGCGACGCGCGCCGCTTCGCGACCGCCTCGCCCGCCGACCGGACGACCGAGACGTTGCACTGCTTCTTGAGCACCCCCTCGGGCTCGACGAGCAGCAGCTTGCAGCCGCGCGCGCGCACCCACGCCGCGGCGTGCGCGGCGCGCGTCGAGCGGCGCTCCTGCGCGCGCCGCCACCAGCTGGTGGGCGCGCCGCCGCCGTGCGTGCGCTGCTCCGAGGCGAGGCCGCTCAGCTTCTCCACCAGCGGCCCCGCACCCTCTCGCACCAGCGCGGCGAGCGCGGCGCCGCCGCGGCAAAAGAGCAGCCGCGTCTGCAGGTCGGCCGTCACAAGCACCAGCGCGGGCAACTCGCTCGCCGGCGCGACGCCGAACTCGAGCGCGAGGAGGTCGGCGTGCGAAGGCGTGCTTGGCGGCGCGCGCCCGCGCACGGGCGCCAGAGCGCCCGCCGCCTCGTCGGGCTGCAGGCAAAAGACGCCCCAGCACGCCGCCTCGACGTGCGAGCGGACGAGCGCCAGGGTCTGCAGCAGCGGGGTGTTGGTCGCGCCGCCGTCGCTGTCGGCGAAGAAGGCCAAGAGCACACCGGCGGGGCCGCGCCGATCGACCACGCGCACCGCCGGGCGGCGCTCCTCGGAGTCGCCGCCGCTCATGAGGTCGTAGTCGATCAGGTACGGGTCGTGCGAGCAGCCGCCAAAGGCGTCGGCCCCGGCGGCCTTGTAGCCGACGGTCTGGTAGACGGTGACGATCGGGTCGCCGATCGCCTTTGCGTCGCCCTCGCCGTACGAGAAGTCTCCGAGCCGGAGGGCCCTCACCTCTGCGCCGAGCGGCAGCGGCTCGCTCCGCATCGAGCTGCCCGACGCCTTGAGCAGCTCGTCCGTGGACGCCGTGCCGCCCCGCTTGAGGTGGCGCGCCCTCCTCCGCGCCGCGGAGCCGGGCTCGGGAGCCGAGGGGTAGGGGCGCGCCTCGGCCTCGACCTTGAGCAGCACGAGCTTGCGCACCTCGTCCAGCGGTATCGTCAGCAGCGTGGGCAGCAGCAGCCCGCCCAGGGGCGGGGGCAGCGTGGCCGCCTCCGGCAGCGCGACCACCGCACCTGTGGAGCCGGCGGCCTCGCCCCGCCCGAGGCCGGCGCCGCCTGCGCCGTCGCGCAGCCGCTCCCACTGCCTCCTCACCTCGCCCGTGACCTCGTCGACCGTCATGCGGTTGTCGCGCGAGTCCCACGCCCGCGAGTCGCGCCCGCGCAGGATGGCGAGGTAGCGGGAGGTGGAGAAGGGCTTGACCTCGGTCGGGTCGTACGGGGCCGCGGCGGTCACCCACGGCAGCGCAAAGGGGCGAGGCTCCGGCGGCAGCAGCAGCACGCCGACCTCGTACGACATGACGACAAACTCCTCGTCCTCGACCCCGCTCTCGTCGTCACTGCCGGTCGCGGCCTCCATCTTGCCCCACGCGGCGCCCGACAGGTTGTGGGATCCGGCGTACACCCACGCGCAGAGCGGCGCCACCTCGCGCTGCGGCCCTTCGCGCTGAAGGGGGCGGACGATGCCGGCGGCCATCTTGACGTGGTGGAGAGTGGCGGAGCGGCGCGGGTCGGCGGCGATATTGTGCGCCATGCACGCCTTGAGCTGCTGCGACTTGAACTCGGACGGGCCCGTCATGGTGTTCTTGCCGCCGCCGATGGTGAGCATCCCCTTGCCGCGCGCAAAGGCGGGCAGCGATGCCGTCAGAGACGGCCACACCAGCCGCGCCGCCGCGCCCTAGACGGAGGGCGGGGCGGGCTGCAAAGCGAGGGGCGGGGGGAGGGCGAGAGGACGACCTCGCGCCTTGACGTGCGGAGGCTTGTGCAGCCCCTCCAGGAAGGCTCCGCGGACAGCCATGCGCGGCGCCTGCTTGTAGTTTGGCCGCACGCCGAGCAGCGGCTGCAGGATGTCGTCGAGCTGCCCGAGCGACGAGCACGCGTACTCGACCGCTGTCGGCCGCTGCGCCACTGGCCGGTCGCTCAAGACCTTGAGGTGGCGCTGCAGCGCGCGGAGGCCGTAGCGTTCCGCCTCTGGGCCAGAGTAGCGGCCAGGAGCGGAGAAGATGAGGTGCGTGCCTACGGCGGTGAGCTACCAAAAGAGGGATGCGGGAGGGGAGGGGAGAGCGGTGCGCTGCCGTCCAACTCGAGGCGCACCCGCGGGCGGCGTGAGGTCGTAGCGGCTCAGCAGCGCCTCCCACTGGCGAAACAGCTCCGGCGCCGCTCTGCCGACGAGCCGCTCCACGAAGAAGAGGAGGTCGGCGCCAAAGCCGGCCGAGTCGGCTCGGCGCGCCTCGACGAGTCTCTCCGCCTAGGCGAGCCGCCGGCGGAGGTGAGGGGGGCGGCGCACGCTCGCTCTGTGCCCGCCGGGCTCGCCCCACACGCACCAGCTCCGCCTTCTCGCTGCAGCCGGCGGCGTCGACTCGCCGCTCCTTGAGCTCCGCCTTGAGCTGCGAGACGCCGAGCGCGCGAGCAGCCTCGACGGCGTCCTGCGCGCGCACAAAGTCGCACGCCCACACCTGTCCACACAGAGGGTGAGCCCGGAGGCGTGAAGAGAGGAGAGCAGCGGCAGCAGCAGGGTGAGCAGCACGCCCACACCTGGTTGTTGATCTTGGCATCGTACCGGCCGAGGTTGGCCGAGGAGATTGCGAGCCGCAGGAAGCCGCTGCCGCACGCGCCGCCCTCGCTGAACTCGAGCAGCCACATCTTTGGGTGCATCGTCCCGTGGTGCACGCGCGTCCGGTCGGCGGCGGCGGTGTCGTCGCTGAAGAAGGGCGGCAGCACGACGGAGAAGTTTGCGCGGACGGCGGCGTTGTGGACGGTGTACGTGTGCTCGTCGAGCCCGGCCGGCGTGCGGTGGTGGTCGTAGTTGTCCACCACCGTGACGCCTCGCCGCCTCGCCGCCGCGGGCGAGCCTGCGACCATCTCCGCCAGGAAGGAGTAGTCGGTGCCGTACGACGTGAAGAGCGCCGTCTGCGGAGGCGGGAGGGAGGGACGGTCGGTCGCTGCGGCACCAGGGGGCGGGCGTGACGGCGGAGGGCCGCCTGCAGCGCCGCCGGCCTCCACAGAAGCTCGTGCCGCGCAATCTCGGGCGGGCTCGCGCCGCCGCCGCTGCAGCCAGCGCCGCCGCCGCTGCAGCCAGCGCCGCCGCCGCTGCAACTAGCGCCGCCGCTGCTCTGCTCGGCGGCGGCGGCGGAGGAGGAGGCGGCGGCGGCGGCTGGCTCGCTCTCCTCTGGCCTGATGAGCGTGTTGAGGTAGACCGTGCGCCCGTCTAGCATCCGGTAGGGCCGCGCCTTGCCGAACGCCTCCGTCAACCCCTCGTCATCAGCGGTGAGCGCCAGCGGAGCGGTGCCCGACGCAGTCGAGGCTTCCGCCGCCGCCGGCGGAGGCTGACGGAGGAGCCTCAGCACCACCGCCGCATCCGGTTCCTCAGGCAGCGGAGATCGTCTGCTGGGCGCCTTCCCTCTGCTGAGAGCGATCTCGAACCCATCGCTGACGGTGGACGACTCGCCCCTCTGCAGCCACACCCACGGCGCGCCCGCACTGCCCCGGACGCCCGTCTCCGCGTGGCCGATCGAGGTGAGGAGCAGCTTCCCGTCTCCGTCTGGAGCGGGCGAGAGCGTCGCGTGCTCCCGTGAGACGCAACTCCTCATGTCGGGGTGAGACGCTCTGCCGAGAAGGACCGGCGAATCGACAGTCGGCGTCACGCAGCGCGGCGGCCTGGCGTCCGAGTGGAGCTGCCACATCGGACTCGGACAGGCCGCAGCCGCGAACAGTCGAGCGCGCGCCAATCGGATTTTCTTTATGCACCGCGGTCTCACCCACGGACTCACACCAGACTCACAGATGCAATTTTTGGGCCCCACGGCAGCTCTGGACGCCAGCCACCGTCTCTAAGGGGCTCCAACAGCTTCTTAAGATACATAAACGTCAACCTCATATGAGCGTCACATGAAACTTCTCATCGTTTCCAACGCAGATTGGACCGTCAAGCAAAAGATTTGCTACGTTCAATGCTTTACAGAGCAGACCGTCTCCGATGCAATGCAGCACCACCAGTGGTCGTCGTGGGAGAAGAACACGGACAACACGGATGAATGCAACGTTCAATGCTGGACGAAAGAGGACCTCGAAGGCAAAGTGTGGTTCGAGAAGAACAATGCTGAAACGGATTGCCACGTTCAATGCTTTCCAGAAGGGTTCATAATTGAATACCCTTCCGCCAAGTTCGAGAAGAACAACAAGTAAAGGCACACGGCACACCGACGACGAACATCGCGATTTGGTCAACGGCTACAACTGCATGTCCTTGCAGTGGTTGGCTACCAGATCGAGCCCGACTTGGCTCGCCGCCGCACACAGAACAGAAAGGCGCAGCGACGAGTCGTGGTGGGAGGGTGCTGCTCGTTGTGTGTGTGTGTGGGGGGGGGAGGGTGACGCGCACACACACCATCATGGTTTGTAGCGAGGAGCGGCGGCGGAGAGCGGCTCGCCGACAAGTTTGGCGGCCGTCCGTGTGTGGGACTTGTGTGAGTCTGGACCCCGCCACCCTTCGGTCTTTTGGAGGGAGAGAAAAAAGAAAAAAATATCATAGCGACTAGCACACCTCCAGAGTCCCGAGAAACCCCTAGGTATTACACAGGCAGGGACTGTGAGATGTCTGATGTGCACGCCCTGGAGCATTAAGACATACCCGAGCCCAGCACTCCTGGCCACATCACCGCCCAGGTTCGCTTTTTGGACTTCGGTCGGGGCTCATCCCACCCTCATCGATCCGCTCTCCCTCCTCGTTGAGCGGCTGGTACGGCGCCTGCCGGCCAGCCGTCGTCGGCAGTCCACCCTCAACCAGCCGCGGGGAGTAGGGGATATAGGGACGGAAGGCGGAGACGCTTCTCGTGAGACCGAGCGGCGTGCGCGCCTACACTTACGCCGGAGGCGTATCTGGCGGACTGGACGGGCGAGAGGCCTCTGTGGCACACCGCGAGCACCCGCGAGGCGGCGGCGGCGGCGACGACGAGCACGGCGATGCCGACGGCAAGTAGCAAGAGCAGCACCTGTGCGCAGAGAGGTTCGGTGGTTGCGGCTGGCGGGAGGAGAGAGGCGGGGAGCGGAGAGTGCGTTGTCGACCTGCGGCCGGGGAAGGAGAGGCCCCGCGTCGTCGCCACTGGCGTAAGGACGAGGAGGCGTCGACGAGCAGCAGAAGCGCTCGACGCCGCAGGGCTGCCAGACATCGACACCGCCGACACAACCCGGTGAGCCGGCGGCGTCCTGCGAGCAGCATCTCCCATCTGCGCCACAAAAGTCGCAGGGGCCCTCGATGAGGATGGCAGCCCTGCGTTTCCCGACAGGCGGCTCGCCAATGTATGGCAAGCGGCATGGTGAGCACTCCGGCCCGCCAACCGTGTCCTGCAGCGACGAGGACGCGGCGGCGAGCACGGCGAGCATCCCTTACACGGACAAGAGCAGCGACCACCAATAGACCCCGACGTGCACAGCTTTAGATTTCCGGCGCAGGCGCGCTCCGTGATTGGCGGCGCGAAGAGTGGCTGCTCGAATAGGGGGCGAGAAACGAGTTCGGGATGGGGACTCCAAGTGCGAGATGGGGTGAACTGCGATAAGGTTTTTGCTCGCTTTGCCTGGGAACCCGTGTTGCGTGACTGTCTCTCTGCGATTTCGGGCCCGGGGTTGTGCGTTTATGTGAACTGCTGACTTTATCGTCCCGCATCGGTTCGGCGTCGAGAGAGACGCACGTTTGTCGTTCGTGCACCTTTTTTTGTCCATTGTTCTCCACTGCCGTGGCGTGGCAGACGGTGAACGAGCTAGCGCGCGGGGAGAGCGGCATTGTGCACGGAGCTTAAGTGCATTGGCAAGCTTTGAGGTCCGTCTGGCTGGTGGACCTGCTGTGGCCAAACCCGCCCCTCCACATGGACATGCAGCTCGCACCATGACTCGACACCGGGCCCGCTCAGCTAGGTCGTGGCGGCGTGTGTGAAGGATGCGCGGCCAAGCTGCTGGCTCTGCTACAGTCGGTTGCGGGCATTAAGAAAGCAGGATCCCGCGGCACGGCACGCCGCCGTTTCTAAGCCTTTCCACCCCACCCCACCCACCCCACGCCGTGGTTTCTTAGCTTCGGCCGGCACCCCAGGTCAGCCGGGATCTAGGATTTTTTAACGGTAAACGACAACATAAGGAAGCGCCGTGGACCGATGTCGCAAGTCCGCAGTCTGCCACCCACTTGGGATGACAGGAAGACGCACACACCTCCATCCACACCGCCCAGAACAACCGCAGACTTGGGCAAAATGACAAGCAAGTGCGCGCGCCGCAGGCGAAGAGAAAATTTGAGCGGGGCTCCTGTTCACACTCGTGTGTGGGCCCTTTCTTGGGTGATAGTGCTAGAACGCGCCAGTCCGCACCTGTCGTCGAGCCTGTCTGCTGTGACAACCTGTGAGAGTGTGAGTTGATTTTGTTAAATTCTCGGGGCCGCGCCTGCGGCGCGCCGTGGTTTCTTAGACTTTTGCGGAAATCGCTTGGTAGGGTTTCTTAATGCGACGTTTTCTTAATGCCCGCACGCAACCGACTGTAGACTGTAGTCTGCTACAGCGGCGCGAGAAGCAGGCAGCGGCACGAGACCCGGTCGGTCGAGTCTGGCCGTTCTCTCGACGCCAGCCAGCGAGACTGACGGCCTGTGGCCGGCTGGTGGGCGGAGAGCAGCCAGGAGGACTCCAGAGTAGCCAGCAACATAATACATTAAGCAACGGCGCAACGGGAGAGCGCACAGCGAGCGAACACAGCTGATAAAGGGCGTGATGTGGTTTAACGGAGTCGCTTAGGCGGCTCCGGTGGTGTGCCGATGTGTGTGCTAGTGTGCGCCAGTCCACGCCCTTGACGTGACGGAGTTGAATTCTTCTTTCGAGCACGAGCTCCGCATTATATTGAGCAAGGCCACCTCGCCTGGCAGATGAACCCGCTCCCAAGCTGCCACAGTGTGCATGAGTTCGGCGTCGAGACGCTCCGCCTCGGCTTTGTCGCCTGCTCCGCCGACTGCCACGCCGCCTCCTTTACCGATGCGGCGTTGGCGTGCCACGCTCTCTTCCACGCCTTCAAGGTGTGGAGCTATGGCCGGACCGGCGGCGGCTCGGTGATGCACTGGGCGGCGTTCGCAGCGCTACTGAGCAACGGCCTGTGGTCCACCTGCGGCGCGGTGCTGTGGCTACAGCCCGGCGGCAGCCGCGCGCCGCCGTTCGAGACGCTCTTCCGACTGAACGGCGGCGCACAGGCACTGCTCGTTGGCTCGTGGTGGTGCGTCCTCGCCGGGATGCTCGGCGGCCTCGCCTCGGTGCCGCGCGTGCTCCCGGCGGTCCTGTACGCCGTCGGCGCCGCCCATGCCCTCGCTTTCGCGTTGCGCAACCTCGAGGCCTCGTTTGAGTCGTACGTGCTGTGCGGCGGGGCAAACGTGACCCCGCCCCTCTCGTCGATCTGGCTGCTCCTGGTGCTCCTCTGCCGGCGCCACGAGCTGCTCTCTCGCTGGCTGCGCCGCGGCGAGGACGCCCACCCTCTCCTCGTTGGCGCGCTGTCGGGGCTCGTCTTTTGGTTTGGAAACTCGGGCCTGCTGATGGGAGCCGAGACCGGGCTCACCTACTGGACGCACGCCGCCCTCGAGGCGCTCTGTCGCGCGGCGGGGCTGCTGCCCGAGGGCGCGCGTCTCTGGCAGGGCGCCTTCGAGGAGATGGCTTGCTTCCACCTGTTTGGACTCCTCGGCAACGAGATGCTCTTCCGAGTCTACCGCTGGCTGGCGGCCGCCGAGGTCGATGCGATCAGGCGGGCGGCGACGCCCACGAGGGTCTGCAATCGGAACGGAAAGGCACGCGCCCGGTCCATCGGGCCGTGGCTGACCGAGGCTCTGCATGCCGGAAGCAGAAAGCAGGAGTAGCCGACATGTGCCGACGATGTCGGAGAGAGTCAGAGCCACGACGAGTCGTACCAGCACATGATCATGAACATGAGCATGTGTCATGTGACGGATTGCAGTGGCACCCTCAGTATTTGACAGAAAATTTTAGTCACCGGCGACGCGTGTTGTACCAAACAAAAGGGTTTCGATTCCTTCGTCGATTGACGATTGTGCCGCGCGCCGCGCGCTCGGCTTGCGTCTCTGTGCCCCATAGGGAAGGGAGCCGGAGGTCGGAGATCGGAGTCATCGCACGTGAGGAGCGCGCCCGCGCATCACCGCCCCAGGGCGGTCGAGATAAAGAAGGTGGGCGCCAGCAGGCCAGCCGGCGCGTCTGCGAAAGCACGAGCCTTCGCCATGACGTAGACGGCGTACGTCCCTGGCTGGTAGACTGCCCAGGCGCCAATCAAGGAAGGGCCAAAGGCGGCCGGGGGAGGCATCATGTCCCCACCCCCCATGCCGGGAAACGCCATCAGACACTCAGCAGCTGCGCTGCGGCCCACGATGGCTGAGAACCCCTCTGGCGGTGCGAGGTGAACATGCTGCAGCTCATCGGCACCCATCCGCGCAACGATGGCGTGCGCGCCGACAGTAAGATAGGTCTCGAGCATCCCACTCAGGTTCATCCCACCCGCGCGCTGAACAAACACGTTCAAGCCGACACACGCGAATCCACTGTCAGGGATCACCACGATCGTCGCTGTGCCATTCCCGCTGCCAATGCCGCCGCCGCCGCCGTCTTCGAAGAGCGTCGTCGCGAGCTTGCATGCCTGCTGCTCTTCGGCAGCACCCGCGGCGTCGCAGGCTGCGAGTGCACTTCGAAGCTCGGAGATGCCTGCATCGGAGAGAAGCCCGGCACTCAGCTGCGCGCCCCAGCAAGAGGCGCCCTCAGCTTTGCAGCCGGATTGCAGCGCCGCTGTGATGGGCAGCCCACCAACGACCTCGTCTGCGTCTCGCCCACCCAGCGGCAGCGTTCCAACGATGTGCCGCTCACTGTAGTCAGTCGGGGGAATCGGGCGCGTCGAACCCGGGCGCAACGCGAGCGGCTCTGTCCGTGCCTCCCCCTCCACCAGCATTTCCCTTCCTGGCTGAGGGTCGATGTGGACGGACTTCTCCGATACACACATGTCGACTGTGCGTGCGTCAGCGCGAACGCCAAAATTGAACAGAAATCGCGCTCTCACGGCAGCCGACTCGTTCCCAGGAGGAAGGCGCAGCTGAAATGGGAAGCGCTCTTCCTCCCCAGCGAGCTCTTCTGGCGGGTGGACGTGCCACGCGGCTTGCAGGTCGGTCGCGACGGCAGAGATGTGGATCCTGCGCCCGTGCATCTCGCCGAGATCTGACCAGCGCAGCGGCTTCCACAGCGTGCCCGCATTTGAGACATCGCGAAACCAGAGCTGTGCGCTCAGGGACGCGACACCGTCGGCAACACCAGTGACAGTCGCCTCAGCCTGGTTCATGGCTGTGTGGAAACCTCGGTTGATGCCCAAGCCTTGCGTCCACACAGGCTCCTGCAGCGCGTCACCGACTGGCAAGACGAGGGCTTGCACCCCGGCGTGCGACCCCTTTAGAAACTCGGCTGGTGAGAGCACCCTTGCCTCAGAGTCGCCGCCGTCTGCGCCCGAGCAGAGCAGCCTCACCGGGTCGACGCACCGCGCCCGCCGCGAAAAGTCAAACAGCTGGACAGGGTTGCTCTCAAAGAACTCGGTCGACGGCGGCAGCCCCATCTCCTGCGTGATGTCGCGCACCATCTGGTGCAGCTTCTGCACGTCAACGTTGTCCGTCGCCAGACAGGCCTGGCCTGAGGCGTATCCCCGCTTGAAGACCCCCATCTCGAGCAGCCCCTTCTGCTGGCTCGCCCGCCGCATCTGAGCAATGATCTCATCCGGGATGGCCGCACGGTCCTCTGGCTTCATGCGATCGAGGTGGGAGTCCGTGCCGTCCTTGTGGTGGTTCTTCTTGCTGACCACGAGCGCGAAGAAGTGCGTCTCACCCTTTAGGTACTCGATGAACTCCGCCTGGATGGGGCAGTTGCTGAGCGGCCAGTCCGAACCAAGACAGAAATGGACCTGCGAGCGCATGTTGCGCTCCTTGAGGTCGTTCGGATTGTACTTGAGGTTGGCCACTAGCCCAAAGACGGGCTTGAAAAGCTCCACCGACTTGGAAAACCCGAGCCGTCGTGTCGAGTCGCTCCACCCGCCCTCGGCGATGATGTACGCGTCAAACTTGACCGGCGGGAGCCCGGTTGCTTTGTCGCCACCGCCTCCCGCTGCAGACCCGTTCACGTAAGCCATGTCGACGTCCCAGGTCTCCACGCTGGCCGTCTCCTTGCCTCCGTAGTCCTTTGCCTTTTGGAACTCGAGCGCCGTGCCCTCTGTGCCACCCTGCTCCTTTGGCGCCGTCTCGGAGCTCTCCCGCTCGGCCGACCGCTTGGCTTGCGCGTCCGTCTCAGCCGCACGCCGGTGCTTGACGTACGGCCGAAACTTGGCGCTCCACTTGCTTGCCTCGTCGCAGGGAGGCACAAGCCCACAAATCTCCTTGCCATAGTGCACGGCGCCTCCAAAGAGCAGAAATGTCTTGAGCAGGCAGACCTGAATCTGGCGCGTGCCGAGCACCTTTTGGTTGCCCGTCGGCTTCAGGTCGGGGAAGTAAGACTTTGCGCCGAGCGCGAGCATGTCGCTCATCGTCTCGTCCCAGAAGGTCAGGATGTTGGCACGAGAAAAGTTGGGTCGCTTCTCTATCACCGTCACGCGGAAGCCCAGCAGCGCGAGTTCCACAGCAGCGCGCAGCCCGACGGGCCCTGCCCCGCACACGAGAATCTCATTGACGCCGAAACTGTTGTCGGCGCTCTTGGTCGCCGCCGTCTCCTCGGCCGCAGCCATTGCAGCCTCGTTGTCGGGCTTGGCCACGCCGCGAAGCCGCGCCACCACCTTCTGCGCGCGGATCATGCTTCCGTGAAGGTCATTGAGCAGCTTCTTCTGCTTGAACATGAGCCCCGCTTGCTCGAGCGCCGGCTTGAGGGCGAGGAAGAGCTGCAGGCCCTGCCCCCGCAGGGCAGCCAGCCCTAGCTTGTCGAGCAAAAGGTCGAGCGCAAAGGCGGTGTCGGCTGCGGTCTGCACTGTGCAAAATACCTCCCACAGCTCGGGGGTGGTCGTGTCGAGCGAAAGCCTCGCTTCCAAGTCTGCTGACACGCCTGCGGAATAGGTGTCAGTACCGATCGACGCAGCTGGAGCAGAGCCAAGGCCCGTGGCGCTGCTCTTCTTCATGAAGGTTGCCATGCGGCTGAGGAGTGCGGTCTGGTGCTTGGGCGGCCCAAAGTTGTGGCCATAGTCGTGGGGCTCGAAGACGCAGTTGCCGGTCTGCGCAAACAGCTTCCGGCTCTCCTCGAAGTGAATGACCGCGTCCTTCCTCCCGTGCACGAACATGATCGGGATCGTCTTGTTGGCTCTCAGCACCTCAAGATGCGCCACATCCTTGCCCTGCCGCTCCCACGCTTCGTAGGCCAGAGCGCCAACGGCGCACTGTGACTCGCCCATGTATCCTGCATCCCACGACCGGCCTGCCATCTCTTCGTACACCGCCTTGTCAAAGTCGGGGACGACTATCTCGAGCAGCTTGCTGCGCCACGTTACGTACTCATCCCGCGTGGCGCGCCTCGAGCCCCACGGCGGCTTTCCGTTTTCGCCGTACAGCTCCGCCGCCTTCATCTTGTCGTAGAACTCCTCAGCGCCCGCTGAGAAAGCGGCCATCATCAAGCCGAGCTTGCTGGCAGCGGAGCCACAGCTCACCACCGAGAGCACCCGCTCCGGGTGGAGCGTCGCCGCGAGCCGCGCCAGCATCCCTCCCTGCGAAAGCCCGACAAAATGAGCCTGGTGAATGCCGAGTTCGTCGAGGACCGAGAAGGCATCTTCGGCATACGCATCAAAGTCGGGAAGCTGGTTGGAGATGATGGGATTAAGTGGGGCCGGACGAAGCTTTTGCGCGTAGTTGCGGAGGCCACCTGCGCTCTCGTCCTCCGCCTTAGCTTTCGGCGGCGCCACACCGACCACCCGCTCCATCTCCTGGACGGGCGTGGTGCCTGCTGCGGAAAAGGCGGTTGCCCAGCAGTCTCGCGGTTCGCTCCCGCCAGTGCCGCGCAGGTCGTACATGACCACGAAGAAGGGCCCGACGGCTGCCAGCTCTCGCGCCATGTACAGATTCTCCTCCTTCGTCGCGCCACCTCCAGGCGGAATGACAACAGCCGGATTGGCGCGAGAACCTTCCGTCAGGTAGCTGATCTTGAAAGCACGGCTGGTGTTGTTTGCCCCGACCCGCGCCACGTCCAGCCCGCCAAGGAGCGTCTCCATCGCCGACGGCTGTCGTTGCTGTCTCTCCCCTCTCGACTGTCTGTGGTTGTCCGTCTCAATAGATCTTCTGTTTTTGCGTGAAGTCGCGAGGACGCGCGAGTGGCTGGCCGGTCTTTTGTTTTGTTTCCGGCATAGAAAGAAAAAAAGAAAATGCGGCACGGGCACGCCGCAATTAAGATACCTTCTCCTGGAAAAGTTATTTAGGGACACCCCGGTTTCGGATATCGGCGAACGATTGGACGGTGCCACCAAATGAGTGAGCCAAATGGAGCCCTATGATGTGGGACCACGTGGCTAGGTGGACACTAAAGTGCCATTTTGGCGCCAAATCTTGGAGCGAAATGACACGTGGCCATGGCGGGAGAGTGGTGTGACTGCGCCGCTCGCCAGCGCTGCTGTTGAGCGCCAGCTGCTGCTCCCTTCAGCCAGACGGCCTGCGCAGCACGACCGCTGGCCTTCCTCCTGCGAGCGCGCCGAGGCGCGCGTCTGGGCAAGCAGTGCGTCTCATCCTCCGTCATCGCAATGTGAGAGTCGACGCTGTGACGCCGCCGCTCGCCGGCTAGAATGACAGTGGCAGCATTCGAGTACGCGTCGAGCTGTGCGTACCAGCACTGCGAGCTTATTGTGTCCCTACCTCGTGTTCCGTACCGTTCTCACACATCCATAATTCACTTTGGCCTCACTGAAGCGACATGCCTCAAGCCTGAATTCCTCAGATTTTAGATTAGGTGACGCTGTCGACCCTCTAGTGTGGGACCCTGTCCTCCTCCAATCCCTCACACCTGGGGGCTAAAAAGCCGTAGCTTGTACACACCGACGACGGTGTACCATACGACCTCGAGGAACACTCGTACACACAAATGTTACCCCTCGATCGCCCCGATCGCCTCCGTCACCTCGGCAACTAGCCGCGACGCCTCCCCCTCGCTCCGCGGCCCGTCCCTCCTCCACCTCGCCGCGTCGTGGTGCCTCGCCGCGTTCGCCCAGATGCGCAGCGAGTGCAGCTGGCTCCGCAGCTCGGTAGGCAGGCCGCACTCGCGGTGCCAATAGTTGATGCGCTCCTCGAAGCCGTCGGGCGCCGCCGCAGAGCGCGAGGCGTAGACGGCGTCGAGGCGCGGCATCAGCGTGTTGAAGGCGAGCAGCATGTTGCCCTGGATGCGCGCCTGCGCGTCGCCGCCCGTGCGCATGCCGCGCACCTGCACCGAGAGCGGCGAAGGCTCGTAGCCGGTGGTGCGGGCGGCTGCCGCAGCGGCCTCGTCTCCAGGTGCCGGCGCAGCCTCCTCCACCCCCGCCCCGCCCTGCGCGCCAGACAGCAGCGCCCGGAGCGTCAACAGCGCCTCGGGCAGCGTGGGCCGCTTGCGCAAGCTGTGGTGGCAGAGGCTCTTCTGCCCGTCCCCCGCCTGCGCGAGGTCCTTTACTGCGCGCGCCGCGTCGACTGGCCAGCCCGCAGCCACGTCGGCGAGCTTCACTGCGTCGATGTCGGTCCAGTCCTCCTCGAACTCGTCCTCGCACCGGTCGGTGAGCTGCACCTCGGAGCGACTGGTGAGGCAGACGAGGAGGGTGATGCCGATGGCGTAGCCGTCCGTCTTGCTCGAGTACTCGCCCCCCTTGGAGATGGAGGGGCAGAGGTAGCCCGTGGACATGTAGAGGGCGGTCGAGCGGCAGCGGACAGAAGCGTCGGGACGCTGGTCCTTGGCGAAGCCCGTGTCGGCAAGGACGGCGGTCAGCTTCTCGTCGAGCAGGATGTTGTCCGGCTTGACGTCGCGGTGCACGATGCCCTTCGAGTGGAGGTAGACGAGCGCCTCGGTCGCCTCGCACGCGACACGCACGCGCTGCTGCCACGTCAGCGGCCTCGGCGGCTCTACCATGCCCAGCCGCCGGAGCTGCGCAGCGCGGTCGGGATCCGAGAGGCGCAGCCGCGCCTCGAGCGAGCCGCCGCGCATCAGCGGTGAGAGGAGGCAGACGCCGTCGGGCGAGAGGCAGTAGCCGAGCAGCGGCAGCAGGTGCGGGTGGCTCACCGCCTTGAGAAGCTTCACCTCGAGCTCCGCCCGCGACAAACCGCCCGACTGGCCCGACTTTGCCCGCTTGACGACGAGCGGCAAGTGGCGCAGCTGCGGAGGCGCGGCGAGGGAGAGGTGGAGGTCGGCCGACGCCTCGTAGACGTGGCTGAAGCCGCCGCTGCCAATCAGCTTGCCCTCTGCAAACCCGTCGGTAGCCGCGGTGAGGTCCGACAAGGCTATCTCGACTGGCCGAGCAACAGCCTCTTCCGCCGCGGCCGGCTCGGAGGCGACAGACAGAGTTTCCAGCTTCGACTCCGCCGCGCTCACCTCCTCGGCCAAGGCAGGCAGCGCGCCCACGTGCGGCCTGGCAGCAGCGATGCCCGCTCGGAGCGCGGAGGGGCTGTCCGCGGTGTCGAGCGACTTGAGCGCGCCCATCGCCGCGCCATGCGCCTTGCGCAGCCGCTGGCTGTCCCTCCTCCGCGCCTCCTTGAGCTTGTCGCGCGCGCGCCTCGCCGCCGCCAGCACGGCCAGGCTTGCGAGGCCGCTGCACGCCTCCAGCGCACTGGCTAATCTCTCGTACGAGCCAGCGGCCACGGCCTGCTGCAGCGCCTCGTCCGCCGCGGCAATGGCGGCTGCGTCGGCGGGCGGAGGAGATGGGGCTGGCGGTGGGGCTGGCGGCGGCAGAGCGGCGGTGGCGCTGGGGCCAGGAGCCGCGTTGTCTGCCTCACCGCCGCCGCTCTTCTTCTTCTTCTTCTTGCCCTTCTTGCTCTCCTTGGCGCGCTCCTCCTTCTCCGCCTCCTCCTCCGCCAGCAGGGCCTCGGCATGCCGCGCCGCCTCCGCCTCTGCCGCCGCTCTCTCCGCCTCCCTCGCCTCCGCCGCCTCCGCCTCCGCCGCCGCCGCATGCTCCTCGATGGCGCGCACGCACTCGGCGCAGCCCTTCTCCTTGGCAGCATGCAGCGCCGTCTTGCCGTTCTCAGCGCGCGCCGTCGTATCCGCGCCCGCCCGCAGCAAGCGCCGCACGACGGCGGGGCGGTTCAAGAGGGCCGCGACTATCAGCGCGGTGGCGCCTTCGCTGTTCTGCAGGTTGACCTCCGCCCCGTGCCGAATCAGCAAGTCGACCACCCGCTCGTTGCCTTGGTCGGCGGCGTGCATCAGCGCGGTGCCGCCGTTGCTGTTCTGCAGGTTGATCTCAGCGCCGCGCCGTATCAGCAACTCGACCACCCGCTCGTGGCCTTGGTCGGCGGCGACCATCAGCGCGGTGTCGCCGTTGCTGCTCTGCAGGTTGACCTCAGCGCCGCGCCGTATCAGCAAATCGAACACCCGCTCGTGGCCTGAGTCGGCGGCGTACATCAGCGCGGTGAAGCCTTTGGTGCTCTGCAAGTTGATCTCCGCGCCGCGCTGCAGTAGCAGCTCGACCACCCGCTCGTGGCCTTGCTGGGCGGCGAGCATCAGCGCGGTCCAGCCTTTGCTGTCCTCCAGGTTGATCTCCGCGCCGTGCCGGAGCAGCAACTCGACCATCCGCTCCTGGCCGTGGCCGGCGGCGCCCATCAGCAGCGTGAGGCCGCTCACGCCGTCTCTCTCGTACGTCGCGTCGGCCCGCCCGCCGCCCTCGAGCCACGCCAGCACCGCCTCCCCCTCGCCTCGCTCAGCCGCTGTCACAACCGCGTCGGGGGCTGCCGCGGCACCGCCTGACACCGGCTCCGCCGCTGCCGGCGACAGATTGCCCGGCCGCACTCGCACGCTCTCGCCGCCGCCCTCGAGCGCCACCGCGTACCGGCCACCCTCGAAGCTCCGCGCCACGCCCCGCTGCCCGTTCAGCTCGGGGCGGGAGGAGAGCCCGCCGAGCACGACTCGCTGGCCGAGGAGCGGCGCGTCCTCGGCTGCCGCTGCCGCGCCCGAGGAAGCGCGGTCGGCCCCTACTCGGCCCTCCGCAGCCGCCGCCGCTGCCTCAGTCAAGAGATTGACGCACTCGGCGTTGCCCTTCTCCTTGGCCGTCTGCAACGCCGTCTTGCCGTTCACATTGCGCACCGCCGCGTCTGCGCCCGCCCGCAGCAAGCGCCGCACGACGGCGGGGCGGTTGAAGAGGGCGGCGAGCATCAGCGCGGTGCCGCCGTCGCATCTCTGCAGGTTGACCTCCGCGCCGCGCTGCATCAGCAGCTCGACCACCCGCTCGTGGCCCCCTTGGGCGGCGAGCATCAGCGCGGTGACGCCTTTGCTGCTCTGCAGGTTGGCCTTCGCCCCACGCCGCAACAGCAGCTCGACCAGCCGCTCGTGGCCGTTGCCGGCAGCGTACATCAGCGCGGTGTAGCCGTTGCTGCTCTGCAGGTTGACCCCCGCGCCGTGCTGCAGCAGCAGCTCAACCACCCCCAAGTGGCCGTAGAAGGCGGCGCCAATCAGCAGCGTGAGGCCGCTCACCTTACCTTTCTTGTACGTCGCGTCGACCCGCCCGCCGCGATCAAGCCACGCCAGCACCGCCTCCTCCTCGCCTCGCTCAGCTGCTGCCACGACCTCGTCGGAGACTGCAACGCCACCGCTCGGCTCAGCCGCCGCAGCCAGTGACAGATTGCCCGGCCGCACCCGCACGCTCTCGCCGCCGCCCTCGAGCGCCACCGCGTACCGGCCACCCTCGAAGCTCCCCGCCACGCCCCGCTGCCCGTTCAGCTCGGGGCGGGCCGAGAGCCCGCCGAGCACGACTCGCTGGCCGAGCAGCGGCATATCCACAACCGACAGATGGCCATGCGGCGCCGTTTTCTTTTTCCTCGGAGTCTATAAAGTAATGCCCCCCTTGTTGTGCCAGTGTGCTGTGAGAGAGGCTTGTATTCTAAGAATTCTTACCGCGTGCAACCGCTATGCTTGAGCTGCTGTGGGGTGCGTGGGCTCAGCTGCGGAGCACGTACTGGGCGGCGGTAGGGGGGTGTCCCTAAAGAACTTTTCTTTTGTTTTTTCTTCTTTATTTTCCGGCGTAACGCTTCGCCCATTCTCCGCTCTTGCAGCCGAAGGCGCCCGCCCTCGAGGCGGCCGTCGGGCGGCATGTCGATCACGGGCAGCGCGCTGTGGGAGGACCCAGCGTTTCCTGCTTCTGATACATCGGTGGGTTTGACCGACTCGCCGCCTGCGTCCTGGCGCCGCTTCCACGCCCTCTTCCCGGACGCTGTACTTCCCCCAGACATACCGCCAGGTGATGTGCGTCAGGGCGCGCTCGGCAGTTGCTGGCTTCTGGCTCCCGTTGCAGCTCTGGCTTCTCGCCACCCGAAGCTCCTGGCTAGCCTCTTCGTCGATACGAGTCGAATGGCTCAAGGACGAGTCACACTCCAAACGTGGGGCGGGGCAGGGTGGCAGCATGTGGAGATCGACACACTTCTTCCGTGCGACCAGGATGGCAATGCGCTTTTCAGCCATGGCTGGGCGGCGCTCGTTGAAAAGGCGGCTGCGAAACGATGCGGGTCTTTCGCTGGGCTCGAAGGTGGTCGATCGGTCGAAGCATTTGTGGATCTCACCGGTGGATTCGCAAAGCGGTATTCTCTTGGTGAATACGACGACGCAGCAGCCACTACTCGCATCACACACTGGATCTCCCAGGGGGCGCTGTTGTGCGCCTCAGCTTCAGGAAGGGAAGAGACGCACACGGTGGCGGTAACTGCTGCAGGTCGACGCGCAGGCCAGCACTTTGTGACCATCCGCGACACCGCATCCGATGGGGCTCTGGGCATGACTGAGCTGGCTACTGCACATTTCCTTCACACGTTTGACCGGCTGAGCGTCGGTTGGCTTGCAGAAGAGCGGCAGCGACAAGTACGGCACCAGGTCGAGATGGATGGTTTGCCAGGAGGCCCGCCCATGACATCGGCTTGGTGCACCAACCACCAGCATCTGATCCGGTCGCCGCAGAGATGTCGCGTGCATCTTCTGCTCTCGCAGTCGTCCCATGCAGAGTATCTGGGTCTGAGCGTGCTCAGCGCCGCATCTGTACAGCCCGTGGTCGATTGCACCACGGAACAGCTGCTCGCGGAGGCTGGCCCCGAGCGCGCACGGCAGCTAGTCTGCGAGTTTGTCGCGGAGGCCGGCTGCCGCTACCTCGTCGTTCCTCACTCGGTGCGTGCCCGAGCGAGTGGCATCTTCATTCTCCGCGTCTTGTCGGAAGCGCCCGTCTCGATGCAGACTCTTCCTCCGATCAACCATGTCGATGTCAATGGTGGCTGGGAGGCGCACACCGCCGGAGGCCGCTTCCCGAGCGACAGGTGGGGCTCCAACCCGCAATTCGCTGTTTGCGCTCCTGCTGGCGGACAGGTCCGTTGCGTTTTGAGCGCTTTGAATGGCAAAGATGCTATTGGAGAAGCCGCGGTCGCCGACGCTCGGGTTGGTTTGCGAGTTTTGCGAGCGTCGGAGAGCGGTGGGGAGCCCTGCGGCGAAGACCAAGGGTCCAGCGACGAAGGGTGTACAGGCGGCGGCGCCTCACTCCTTCTTCTCAGCGGCTTGGCGGGAGGGCCCGCGACTGCCACTCATCCTCGAGCTTTGGGCAGCGACTACTGCCGTCAGCTCGAGCGGCAGCAGAGATCCACACTCGACGCTGAGGCGGCGAAGACGGCCGCCTTGGCTACTCAGGACCTTACGACTAGAGCCGGTCCGCCACGCCATGAGAGGCCCGCGCCGCCAACTTCGCGATACCAGAAAGCCCTGGTCGCGATTGCCCGAGCTCGGCGTGCTCTCCGCTCTCCGCCAAGGATGACCGTTGCGGAGGCAGGCTTCGTCTCTGCTTCTGAGGGCACAGTCCTGTTTGAGGCTGCAGCTGGAGAGGCGCTACTCCTCGTCCCATCCACACAGATGGCAGGCCAGCACGGGGCGTTTCGACTTCAGCTGTACAGCTCGACTCCTCTCACCGTCCGGCGCCTTGCCGATGGTCATCATGCGCTCGTGCGCGGCGCCTGGACGGCGACTTCTGCAGGGGGCTGCCGCGTTGAGCGCACCTGGCAATCCAACCCGCAGTACTGCCTCGAGCTCATTCCTCCCGTGGATCAGATCCGAATCACTCTCAGTCGCGCCTCAACCGCGAACACGCGCGCAAAATCGAACGCTCTCAAGCCGTTCCTGCGCCGCTGTGACCGGGCTGAGTCTCGACCTAACAGAACTATGGGCGCTCGCATGACTACCCGTAGTTCAATGGTGGACTCAATGGTGGGCTTCTACGTGCTTCGCTGTTGTTCGAGCGAGACGCCGGCGCCATTAGACCTCGCGCAAGAGGGGAAGGTGTCGGCCGCAGGCGTATGGGAGGTCCTGCACGAGGCGAGACCCGCCCCTCCCCTCCCAGACCCCTTTGTTCCTCCCGGACCCCTCCCCTGCCGCGCTTGCAGACACCATTCACCACGGACGCGCGAACGAGCTGCCTACTTCGACTACCAATGGCAATGCCAACACCCGCTGCTCGATACTGGCTCTGCGTGGTGCCAACCACCTTTGCCCCGGGCATAACCGGGGAATTCGATTTAACAGTTTGTTCGAACTCGCCCGTCACGCTCAGGTGTCTCACTGAGTAGCGCATGATGTTTGTGCTTAGTTTGTCGACGGAGAGTCTAGAGAGAGAACAGAGATGCCTCTTGGACTTGGTCTTGCCTTTGTGGTGCGCGGCGGGGGAGTGATTGTTTTCGGATTTCGCCGCGCCCGTTTGAGCTGTGTGTGGGGTGAGTGTGCCCAAATTGTTGCTCTTGCGGCCCTCCACCTCTCACGCAACACACTGAACACACACGCATGCACTCAACAAGTGGTGGTGGTTTGTGTGCGCACTGAACTTTCCGTGACGTCTCCACACACGAGATAGGTGCGGTGCGGTCGCTCTTACGGGCTCGGCACCGGTGCGATCCCAGCGGATCCCAGAGGCGATCCCAGAGGAGTCAGCTCCCCCGAGGCGGACTGCATCACCGCCAGCTCGAGGCCCTCTGACTGGCGCAAATGGTCGTAGCCCTGTCTCACCTGTCGAGAGAGCATCATCGGCGGCGCGCGCGGGCCCACCGCCGCCCCGCCATCCCTACCCCGCGCCGCGGGCCCTAGCAACGGGTCCGTGTCGAGCTCCTACAGCCCATCACAAACGAGTCAGCGAGTGGACTGCGGCCGAGCGAGGGCTGTCGGCCCTCGGAGCGCCTCGAATAGCATCCTCAGCGCGCAGAAGAGAAGAGGCGTCAGGCAGCAAAAGATGGCGGCGAGCACGACGCCGAGGATGCCGAAGACGCGCCTCGTGCGGTCGCTGCCGCTCGGCAGCGCAAACAGCGACGAGGCCGCGGCCAAGCCGGCCCGGCCCGACTCGCGCAAGCCTTGCAGCGCCGACGAGACGCTCTGGTAGACGCGCGTCAACAGTGGCGTGCCCCAGCCGGGCGGGTGCGGCGGCAGCGGCGGGTGGATCGGCGGCCGGGGAGGGATCGGCGGCGGGTGCGGCGGCAGCGGCGGGACGGGCGGGGCTGGCGGCGTGGGCGGCGGGGAAGGCGGCGGCGGCGGCGGCTCGGGCGTGAGGGGCTTTGAGCAGCCGGCGAGGCCATAGCCGCCGGTGAGGAGGGAGGGCGCCTTGGCTGCGGCCATGGCGTCGCAGTTGTGCGGCAGGAAGGCGATGCGGCGGCCGTCGACGTCGAAGACGACCTGTTGGGGGAGGGAGGGCCTGGGAGGGAGGGAGAGGAAGGGAGGGAAAGGGAGGGGGGGGGGAGGAAGAGGGAGGAAGAGGGAGGAAGAGGGAGGAAGTGGGAGGACGAGGGAGGGAGAGGGAGGGAGAGGGAGGGGGGAGAGCGCGGCCGCCGCCTCGGGTCCCGCATCTCCTCTCCCTCTCGGCCCCGCATCTCGGCTGCATCTCGCGGCGCCTCGTGGCCTCGCATCGCCGCCGCGCCGATCACGAGGCCGGCGTGGCCGTTGTCGAAGACTCCGAGACACCAGACGCCGGGGCGGTCCTTGTAGATGTACTGTCGCGGCGTGAGCGGGAGCTCGAAGCCGCCGCCGAGGCGGATCGAGTGGTTGGCGAACCCACCGAGGTCGGCCTCCTCCATCGTGTAGCAGAAGTCGTCTGGGTAGTGCCCCTTGACCGAGCGCGAGGCGCAGCCCGCGGGCCACGGGCAGCTCTGCTGGAAGAGGCGCCGCACGGCGGCGTAGGGCGTCGGGGGGAGGTAGATGAAGGTGGTGCCCGAGTCGACGATCGAGTGCGAAAAGTCAGACGGCGAGCCTGTTCACGGCGAGGCGCTGTGAAGAGGCGCGGCTCGCACCTTGCGCTGCTCGCAGCAGCGGCGGAGGGCGAGCCGACGGTATGGCCCCCGACGCGGAACTCGAGCACCTGCGCCGCGCAGTCGGCTGTGAGTCCTGCCTCCTCCTCCTCCTCCCACTCCACTACTGCCACCGCGAGTCCCGAGCCTGCACTGTGTAGTCGCCCGGCCGCCCTAGCGTCGGCACCCACGCCGGCCGCAGGGAGGGCGGCACCGCGCCTCCCATGACCAGCGCGCCTGCAGCGAGGGGCGCGGTGGTGGGCGGCAGGAGGGGCGAGGGCCACCCTCCCGCCCCCGCAGCCCCTCCCACCGCTGTCCGAGGAGAGGCAGAGCGAGAAGATGGCGGGCGCGCCTGCGGGACGGGGCGTGGACGCGTCATGGACGAGTCCGGTGGCGGCAGGAGCTAGCCGACGGCGGGCGCGCCCGTCGCCGCGCAGAGGTCTCTCAGCAGCGAGCCGCCCTGGCCTCCGGAGCCCGCGCGCGAGAAGCCGGCGATCCCGTCCGCCTGCTGCGAGTGGAAGAGGCCCGACTCGTACGTCTGGCAGCCAAAGACGGTCGGCGCGGTGCGGCCGGATGCGCCGTCGACCGCATAGTGCACCTCATCCCTGACGAGGCGGCCTCGAATGGAGGAGCCCTCCGTGTACGAGACCGAGTAGCCGCACGAGCCGCGGTCGCACGAGCCGCAGCCGGAGCAGCCAACCACCGACGAGGTTGGCGACGCCGAAGCGTCAAAGCGAGTGCCCGCCGAGTGGTGGCCGCAGTGAGTGCAGTCGGCGCAAGGGAGCGCCGTCATGCCGGAGCCGGTGTCGACGATGAGCGAAAAGGACCGTGGCGGGTTGCCCACGCACATCTCGGCGGCAAAGTAGCCGAGCGTCTGCAGGTTGCCATTCAGCCGCCAGCCCGCCTTGAGCGAGAGCTGCCGCCGGCCGCCCGGATGCACACGCGGGTCGTGAGCCTCCGCGGCGGCGACAAATTTTAGCGGGGTGTGGGCGTGCAACTGCCACATGTACATGTACTGCCGCGAGCAGAGCCGTGAGCGTGGGAGAGGGGTGAGGTGCTAGCCGTCGCCCACCCTAAATCCCTGTGTTGGTGGCGGCGTGCCGTTCTCCCATCCCTCCCTGCTTGTCTGTTTTCTTTCTTTACCATCCCTCCCTTGCTGTGCTTACCGGTTTTCTTTCTTTCTTTCAAAACAATTTTCGCACCCCAGGTTATGACCAACCCCTGCCTAGACGAGTACAGCTAAAGAGTACCCGGGGCTCCCCATGCGGGAGACCTCCCTGTGGGGGCCCGTGAACATCTTTAGCTTGTGAGCCAGGAAAAGGGTTGGGTTATGACTGCACTCCAAGTGCTCCAAGTGCACGACACTGGGCGCGGGTCTGGCGCGCACTGGCACTAACACAGGTAGGGAGTAGAGAAAGAAAAGAAAAGGCGCAAGCAAGTGCCAAACAAACACACTCTGTCAGTCAGCAGTCCGCCTTCCGGAAGGCAGCCAGAAATTGAACTCGGGGGCACAGACGCGAGAGAGAAGACTAGGTATGTTGTTCGTGGATCGCGACACAGAGCTCACACCACAGCGGGAGGAAAGCGGCGAGTCGCAATTCCAGGGGTCGTTGTGGCGGGGCACCCTGTCCAGAAGAAGTGTTGGTTTTCAAAAATCTCTCTCTCAGACGCGGCAAAGACGGGGCATAAACGCCAGGCTACAGACACAGGAGGCACGTAGTATGACAAAAAACATATAAAGTCATAATAAGTTACGCCGTGATGAGTTCTTACGATAGGGGAGGGAGCGAACGAACGGCGACGGCCGAAGCGACATCCGCACACCATGATGGCCGCTCGGCTTGGCAGGGTGGCGGCCCCGCTGCTCTCTCGCGCGACACGCGCGAGCGGTTCGGCCCGCTCTGCCAGCACGGCCGCCAGCCTGACGAAAACGGTCGTCACGAGCGTGTTCCGCAAGGAAGTCGCAGCCTTCGCAGGTGGCGTCCTCCTGGCGCTGCCCTTCACAGAGCCCGATGACTTCTTCTACTATTCCTTCACCACCGACAAAGACCCCGACGCGATTATTGACTTCTACTCGACGGAGGACTTTCTCCAGATCCTGGGCATCTTCCCCATTGCGATCCACTTTGTGCTTGCCGGCGTAGTGTGGGACACAGAGCGCGAAAACACCAACGTCGTCTACAACTCGATGGAGATCTCCTTCACGCTGGAGGAGGAGGAAGGGGAGGACGAGAACGGCGAGGAGATCGTGGGCTTCTTCCAAAAGCGCGAGCGCTTCGTGAACTGGATCCCCCTGACACACTTTGTGCTGTGGGATCAAGTTCAGTGCTATGGCTTCAAGTACCTGAATGCGGGCAAGGTCGAAGTTTTTCACCGCGGCGAGTACTTCAATGGGCCGTACCTGGTGCGGCTCGGCATCCTCCTCCATGCAAAGTACGTGATCTGGGCGACTGAGAAGCACATCAACTCGAAGCTCTTCGCCACAGACGACTTGGAGGCGCAGCACGAGCAGCGCGGCAACATCCCGGCTTACGTGCTGCACCAGTTCCTCGACTCGCTCGGCTCACAGAAGCAGGTGGACGGCGCGCTCAAGGAGAAGATCGAGCTGCTCAAGAAGCACAGCGTGGCCGGCGAGCTCGTGGTGACGAAGAAGGGCAGCAGCCTGCAGCGCCAGTCCTCGAAGATTGTCCTCAACGACGCATCGGCGCAGAAGGCGCTCGACTCGGTGCTGCGCGACCTGGCCAAGACCTCGAGCGGCCAGAACGCGGTTGCGCACGCTGTGAGCGACCTCATGGGAGAGACGAAGACAGGCACTCCCGTCGTCATGACCCACACGACGAAGGGGATGTCCAAGAGGTCATCGGCAGTGCCAGCGTAGCTCGCAAGGTTGAGCGGGGGGCGAGGGAGAACAAGGTCGGCCCCGTCATTCATTGCAAGGGTAGAAGGGAGGGGGGGAGGCTGGCAGTATTTCTCAACGACTGAAAAACGACTAACGAGAAACGCTGCGGCTCACCCCCTCTCACAAAACACTCTTGATCTCTGAAGCCGAAGCCGAGACCCCCGCGCGCCACGCCGGCGCCGGCCTCCCCTACTGGTCCCAGAAGGTCCCTTTGAGCTCGGCGCGCACCTCGAGCTCGCGCAGCTTGTAGCCCTGCACAAGCTGAAGGATGAGCACCTGCCGGCGGGCGGGGCGGTCCGTGAGCGGGGCAAGCGGCGGGCGGGGCTGCGAGTGAGGCGGGTGCGGGGGGCGGGGAGGGACGGCCACCTCGCGCATCTTGGCGACCGGCGCCTCGGTGAGTGCGTCCGGCGCCACGTTCATGTCTCGCAGCAGCGAGGTGACGAGCTGCCCCATCGCCTCGAGCACCTCCGAGGAGACGCCGAGATGAGCCGAGATGAGCCGAGATGAGCCGAGATTAGCCCATCGCCTCGAGCACCTCCGAGGAGACGCCTCCCTGCAGCTGGCGCGCCTCGTCGCCGGGCAGCGACTGGATGAAGGCGAGCAGCGGCTGCTCCGCCTGCGGCACGTCGGGTCGGCGCCGCTCGCGCGTGGCCCCGCCCGAGGGCGAGAGGGCGGTGGGGCGGGCCGAGGGCGAGAGGGCGGCGGTGGCGGCGGTGGCAGCTCCGCCTTCTTCTCGCGCGCTGAGGCGAGCTGCGCGCGGAGCCCCTCCACCTCGGAGCGGAGCTCCGCCATGTACGCGGCGGCGTCCACCTTCGCCTCCATCCCCGGCGCGAGCGACACCGTGATCTCTCCCTTCACCGGAGGCAGCGCCGCCGCCTCTGCCATCTCGTCCTCGGCGGCGGCGAGCGTCGTCGAGAGCGAGCGGCGGTACTCGGCGTTACGGAACATGTAGCCCGTCATCTGCATCGAGAAGAAGAGCGAAGCGAGCGACTGCCCCGTCGCCGTGATTGCGCCGTCGGCCACCTCGGCCGGCATCTGCCCCAGTAGCGCCGCCACGGTTTGCTTGACGGCGAGCTGCACGGCTTCGGGCGCAGTCTTGGCAAACTCGGCCACCATCTCGGGGAGCTCGACGCTCCGCACCGCCTCCACGTAGGGGTTGGGCCGCTGCGCACCCCGCTTCGCCAGCGCGGCCGCCTCCTTGTCCCAATCCACGTCAGCCTCGCCGCCGTCGTCCGCATACAGCGACTGCAGCCGCGGCGGCGGGCCCAGGCGCGCGGCAGGGCGGCCGGGAAGTGGGCGCGCCGGCCCGATCGCGAAGGAGAGGGAGGCGGAGAGGAGCAGTACGTTCATGGGGGCTGTAGACGGACCCGGGTTCCGGCTCCTACTCGAGTAGGGGGTCTGTCCCACCAAGGGAGGGATGGGAAGACGGACGCCGCCACTAGGGATTTTATCTGTCGAGGTGGCCTGATGCCCCTTGAAGAAAGAAAAGAAAGAAACCGTACAACCCTCTTGCCAACAATATACCTACATGCTACAACCCAAAAGAGGGGATGGGAGGACGGCACCTCGCTCCTCTGCCCGTGCCTTGGTCTTGTCGTTGTATGCCCCTTAATCCCTTAGCCCCTTTCTACCTCTCTTCACAGTTTCTCGCCGCCTATTCTCGCAGCGACCTTCATGCCTGTTCTTGAAAATTCTTGGCTCTGGCTATCATCGGATCGGCGGGCTAAATTGCAAAGCAAAGCCCACATTTGACATCAGAAGAACGGTGTCTCCGATCGACAATAGCTAGGCACCTCCCCGAAGCGGCGCTCACAATCCCCCGCGCGCGTGAGCGCGCAGCGCCTGCCGCCGACCGCTGCGCCGCGCAGCAGAGCCAGCCTGCCCTCCAAGCGGCGGGCCACAGCCACACTTGTGTCGTCGCAGCTACCCACGCTCGCGCACGCCGCGGCCGCGCTCGATTTTTTTTTTGTGTGCCGTGAGGATGGGATAGCGGTCACACGCGCCTGTCAAGAGCTGTCTGGTGCACGCGATCGCCCACGAATTGCGTCTTCACGCCGCAGGGTTGCTCTTTGGCGAGTACGACGGCGCCGATGCCCGCGACCTGTCCTTCTTTGGCGGCGGCGTCCTCTGCGCCGCCGCCGGCCTCGCCACCCTCTCGCTCGAGGGCGCCTCCGACGTGGCCGACAAAACTTGTGGGCAGCACTTGCAAAGCTGTTTCATCCCTTAGTTCGACAAAGAGCTCGATCTGTTCGGCGCGCCGCGCTGCCGCGATCGTCGACGCGTCGATCAACGCGAAGCCGTCGAGACCACGCAGCCCGCGCTGCACCTCGCCGTCGGGCGGGCCCGAGGTGAGCGCAGCATTTCGCATGCGCTAAAACACACATGCGATACGCGTTGTCAGCTCAATCCGATGCCTTTGATCGACCGATGCGAGCAGCTCGCGCGCGCGCGCAAAACGCGCGACTCTGCGCCTTCGGCGCGGCTGCACCGCCAGCGCGCGGCGCGGCGCGCAGAGTGGACGAACATACCAGGCCAGAGTCTGGGGCTCTGCTGCGCAGAGGCCAGAGCTGGACGCGCAGAGGGGGAGAGAGGAGGAGGTGTGTCCTCGGACGCGCGCCAGTGGGGTGCTCCAGGGGAGGCCGCCGAGACTTTTGCAGTTGAAGCGACTGTAGCTGCAGACGCTCCCTACTGCTCGGTGTACGAACTCTGTTCACAGCCTTGTTATTGAGAAGGAAATACCTCCTATGGCGCTGTGCGCTGGCCTGTGAGAGTTCACACCGAGTAGCTACCCGGTACTCGAGTAGGAGAGGCTGCGGCAGCCTGGCAGACAGCCTGGCCCCCGCCACCGGGCTTTTCAGCTGGTGGCCGCCGCGCGCGCGGGCGTACGATGCTCGGCGCGCGATCCGGCGGCATCCTCACGGGCGAGGATGTCGACAACATCCGCAACATGCTCTTTGACGCCGACGCCGGCGGCGACGTCGTCTTTCTCGTGAACGCCTTTGCGGCGTACGCGGCGGCGCGGCTGGCCATCGAGTTTGTGCTGCCGGGAAAGCTGCGCGGCTACACGCACCAGCAGTACGTCGTCACGCTTGCGCATCAGGTCGTGGTGCTGCCCGTGCTCGCCGTCTGCTGGGCCGCCGGGCTGCTCGCGAGCGGCGGATCTGCGAGCGGCGGGCCGAGCGAGGCGCCCGGGCTCATCTACCTGCTCACGGGCGCCTACGTGATGTCCGACTCGCTCGTCAACTACTCGCCCATCTCCGCCGCCATCGCCGGCAGCGCGGGGCCGCCCACCTTTAGCTGGGGCGTCCACGCGCACCACGGCTTCACGCTGCTGCTCTGCCTGCTCGGCACGACGCTGCCTCCGTGGCTTGAGGTGGAGGGGGCGGTCGCCATCCTGCTTGGCGAGGCGGGCTCGCTCTGGATCACGATCACGCTGCTGCGGCCGACGCGCACCAACTTCCTCCTCCGCCTCCTCACCTTTTTCGCCTCGCGCCTCTGCGCCGTGCCGATCGCGATCGACGTGCTCCGCCAGTGCGAGTCGCCGCTCACCTTCTACCCGTTGCTCGCCGGGGTGGCGGGTCTCGTCTACGACAACGTACGCACGCTGCTCCGCATGCGCTATCACGCTCGCCAGGCGGCGGCCGGTGGCGGCGTGGCGGAGCATGGGTCGTGGCCGCTGTGATCCGACCAAGATAAGAAGATTCACGCGGATGATGCGCGTCGCCGTCGGTCTCGTGCGCATCAGGCGCACCGAGGTGGAGGGTGGCGGCCGTCCTCTGATGCCAGGCGGTAGTGTCGCGCCTGCACGGTGTGGCACTTGGTGTGGCGCGCGGCGGGTGAAGCACGCCCAAGCAACGACGGGCAACGAGCAACGACCATACATGCATGTGTGTGTTTGTGTGTGGAGTACGGAGAGGCGTGCGCTGTACGAACGAGAAAACGTGGATCTCGTCCGCAACAGCGAACAGGGTGTCACTGCATCAAAGGATGAAGAAAAAGAGGAACCCGCACATGGAGAGTGGGAGGATGTGCTGTCCGCCCCAAACCTCTGCACCGTGTGTATCTTCGAAGCACTCTGCACACACACCGTGCAGCACTGGAGCGGCCGCGCATACTGCTCGGTACCCCCCCTGCACATCTAAAGCCATGGCCGACCCCCCCCCCCCCCCCAGCAGCAGAGCTCTGGTGCTGGGGGGTGCTGGCCGATCTCTGTACAGACAGCTGTAAGTAAGTAGCGTTCCAGCGGCGAGAATTTATGGATTATGCTCGGCACCAAAACAGTGGTCTCACGGCGTACCCTCCTACTGCCAGCCAGGCGGCGCGGTAAACACAACCGCCTCGAGCGTACGCTCAAACACGAGCCGAGGGGGGGAGGGGGCGGCGGCGGCGAAGAGGCGGGAGCTGGGTCGCAGTGCGCTCTGCTGCTGGGGGGGTCGGGACCCCCCCCCCCAGCAGCAGGCATGGCTTTAGATGTGCAGGGGGGGTACCGAGCACGGTGTGCGGCCGCTCCATGTCTCGGGCCGCCACACACACCCCCAGCCCCACGGCACTAAACAGACACTAAACTGCTCGAGCTGGTACCGCCGCGCCAGCCCAGGTCCCGATCATGTGAAGATCCGCGTGAAGACTCCTCCCTTTCCCGCGTAGTGCCAGCAAGAGCCGTCCGCAAACCGCATGCGAACCTGATGCTCGGCGCCCGCTCGCCCCTCGAAGTCCTGGATGATGCCGCCGGGGTGGACACGTTGGACGAGCGTGCCGCTCGCAAACCTCAGGTCGTACGACGTGGGCCGAGTCACAACGTGCAGGGCCAGGCTCTCGTCAGCCAGCAGGTTCAAGTCTTGGATGTCAGACGCAGACGGGCCGGGGTGGCGGCGTAGGTACTCGCGCACGGTGGCCTCGGCGAGGTTCTCGCCCTTGAAGTACCGCAGGGCCAGACTGAACAGCGGACACGACCAGCGCTCGAACAGGGCTTTGAAGGCGGCACGCTCGTGAGGCTCCCACTGCCCCAAGAGAACGGCAGCGAGAACGGCAGCGCGGTCGAGCGGCGAGGTCACGGACTCCAAGACGAGGCGCTGGAGTTCGAATGGAAGGGTCGAAAAGCTGGCGGGCATGAATGACGGCTCGAGGTCTATGGATGACGGCTCGCCGAGATCAAGAAAGCAGGCGGCCATGTCGAGGGACGAGCCCAAGGCCGCCAGGGCGGCTCATAATTTTGACACGCGAGAGTTCTCACGTAGTGAGAGGGGTGTTCTCTAGATGTGGCTCCCCTCTCACTAGAGAACACGCCCTCGCGTGTTCTCTCTCAGTGTATGTGGCTCTGACGTACATTCCCGCCCGGTTTCTAGGTCACCCTTTCCGTGATATGTTTCTTCACTCCGAGAGAGAGATTTTGAAGGCCAACAAGAAATCACGACGCTCACAGTGATTTGGGCTCGGCAGCTTGTTAGCCCTCAGCCGAAGCTGGGGCCGGTCCCGTAGGCGTAGCCAAGAGAGCCCGCGCCGATGAGTTCGACGCGGTCGGGGGGCCTTGCGGAGAGGCCAGCGAGTTGGCGATCGCTGTACTTCATGGTGTCATCAAGTGACCGCGACTGACAAGCCAGAGGTCGATACTCTAGACGACCCATAGGATGCCACGAATGCCTGGAGGAGAGGGAGGCGAGGCCAGAGGCAGACTCAGCTGCTCTCGGGTGATCTCGCTTTGGTGGCTGAAGGACCCGATGGTCCTGTCACATTCGCGTTCCGAGTCGTAAAGGTAGAAGATTTCGAGGTAGAATCGAGTCAGCACATCCTTGTAGTACAGCGGACCGCCAGGCTCGCCGGCAGCAACCGCAGGGAGGCAGCATATCAGCACCAGTCTTCTGGAGAGCTCAACAGCTGCGGCCGCGATGGCGGAGTCGGCCGCGGTTCGAGCGAGCAGGCAGCAGCTTTTGGCTGCGGGATCGAATCGCGGAAGGCTCATGCCCTCGCGGAGCGACGCGGGTCGCGCGGCGCGCGCGTGTGCGAAATGCGACAACAGACGACAGACGACAGACGACAAAACCTCTCTCACAAACCTCTCTCAGACGACAGACGACTGAGCGCTGACCGCTGTATGTACGAGTGAACGACCGTCGCAGCAATCGACACCGCCGCCATTTTGACGAGAAGCGCGAGCGCGCTCGTCGGCGGCCAGCCGTCGCGGGCCGGGCCGAGCCCGGCCTCAACCGGCCGCGCCGGCCACATCGTTCTTTTCCGCGGCCGAAAAAAAACAAAATCCGGTCCGGACGGACGACCAGGGCGGCTCGCGCGACACAAACCACAACGCGTTACGCGTCTCGGAGCCCACAGCAGAGCCAAATGCTCTGGCCTCGGACGGAGCAAAACACACGCGTCTCTGAGCCGAACGTCCCGTCGTCGAGCACTCCGTGCGACGACGCCAGCGGCGAAGAGAACAAAGACGGCAGCGTCGCGACCGACGAGGACAAGGCTGTGGCGCGTGCCAGCGGCGAAGCGGGCTATCTGGACGCAATATCGGAGGGGATAGATGGCCTAACTCGCAAGCTCTCGGACAGCCTCGACACTCTCAAGTCGTTCCTGTCCGACGCCGGTTCCTCGAGCACCGACCTCTTCTCGTCGCTCAAGCCGAGCGAACTCAAGAAGGTGCGGATCGAGGGGAGCAAGGGAAGGTCGAAAGGGGCGCGGCAAACGACAGGGGGAGGCGGCGCCTTGGACGTGCTCAACGAGATCAAGTCGCTCCGTGCCACGCTGCGCGAGGATGAGAGCTCGGCGGCCGAGAGGCGCGCCGAGCAGCTGCAACGCGAGAAGCGGCAGAAGCTGCTCGGCCTCGCGCTGGAGGAGATCCTGCAGACGGAGGCGAACTACCTGGCCGACATGAGCTACTGCTGCGACCACCTGATGGCACCTCTCAGCGCTGTCCTCGACCACGAGACGCACAGCCGCCTCTTTGCCAACCTCGGCCAAATCAACATGATGCACTCCCAGGCCGAGGCAGAGAGAGCTAGCCGCGGATAGCCAAGACCCCTGCCTAAGCCGCGCGGTGCACTGCCAGGTCGAGGCCGAGCTCGCATCGGCGCGCGAGGATGGCCTGGAGCCCTCCGTGGTCGGCGAGCGCATGCTGCCCGCCTTCATGAAGCTGCTGCCCTTCTTCAAAATGTACTCCACGTATTGCGCCGGGTACCCAAACATGAGCGGCGCACTCGCGGAGGCGCGCGCCAACCGCGCCGCGGAGGCGATCATCTCGAAGGCGCACACGCCGCTCGAGCAGCTGCTCTTCCGGCCGGTGCAGCGCATGTGCGTCTACCCGCTCCTCTTCAAGGAGGCGCTCAAGTACGCCGAGGAGGGCGAGCAGCAGGCGCCGCGAGCGATGCCCACTCGCGCGTAGCACCCTGCCGCACCGACGGCTGCGTTCCTAGGCGCTCCTGTGGCATTCCTCCCCACCCCGACGCCGCCGTCCGTCCCTCTGCAGGCGCAGTTCTCAAAGGCGATCACGAAGATGCAGGAGATCATCGGGCAGGTCAACGAGGACGTGCGGCGGCAGGAGGAGCAGGCGCGCGCTGCGAACGTGCTGCTCAGCGAGGTGGGAGGGGAGGCGGCCGCGCTGCTCACCGCCGCGCGCACTCTCGCCATGGAGTGCGAGCTCGACCTCAAGGTCTCGAGCGGCGGAGGCTTTGGCGACCCGACGTGGCACGTGCGCGGCTCGTACAAGTGGTGCGCGAGCCGGCCAGCTACTCACACACCGCGCCTCGGCTGACACACCTGTAGTTTCACGGTCTCGGCGAATCGGCTCTGCGAACCTCGGCGAACCTCGGCGAACTTCGGCGGGCGATCCTCGGCGACCCTCGGCGAACCTCGAACGTTCGCGGCAGGTACATTTTTAGCGACATGATCATGGTCTGCGGCAAGAACAAGCTCCGCCCGGGCTACCACAAGAAGATGACCATCCCGCTCGACGAGGTCCTGCTCGCGGCGGGGCGGCGCAACTCGCAGTCGTTTACGCCGACGACGCGCTTGAGCAATGCAGACAGCCTCAGCTCCAGCCGCTCGATCCCTCTTGGTGGCATCCATCGCAGCAGCAGGGCGGAGGAGCCGGACAGCCCCTCCTCGGCAGCAGACCTGAGCCATCGCGCGCAGTCCATCGCGGCCGAGGACAAGCCGGAGGTCTTCTACATGCGGTGGACGACCAAGGCGGCCGCCGAGAAGGCGGGAAAGTCCGGCAGCACGCGGGAGGTGGGCACTCTGTACAAGTGCTGGGCCCAGGATGCCGCGGAGCGCTCGCTGATTCTGGACAAGATCTTGAGTCTGCAGGCGGACGGCATTGACAAGGCGCAGTCGCGGAGTAGAGCTCACACCATGTCGTAGAGCTCACACCATGCAGCTCGAGCTCGGGCGGGCGGGCGGGCGCGGGGGGGGGGGGGGGGGCTCAGGACGTTGGTGCGTGGCCACTGCAGTTGAGCGAGCAGCGTCTCGGACGCCGCTGCGAGGACCTCTCCGAGGCGCCGCCCCCCGCGCTCGGCCCCCTGGGTCTGCTGAGACCTGTCACCTGAGAGAGTGGGGACCGGCTGGGGAGTGTGCTGTCACCGGTCAGGCTGCTGGGTCTCGTTTGATCGATGACGACGTGATCGTGAAAAAAGGAGGGAAACGACGCCAGAAGCCTAAATCCGAGAGCTTGGAGTGGGTATGCGTGCTATAGCCCGCGGGGCAGCACGTCGTTTGGCAACCTCGCCGCGGACACGGGGCACGGGCGAGAAGAAGAAGAGGAAGGAACAGAGACACGGGGCACGGGCGGGAAGGGGGAAACGGGACGCGCGCAACCCCCGCCCGTTTGACCTTGCTTCGGATACGATCGGCCGCGGGGTCGACGTCCCTCCCATCAGCATCAGAGCAGCCAAACATGACATCCCTGCGCGACTCCTTTCTAAACTGCGTAGCGAACCTGCCAACAGGCCAAACTACCAAGCGCGAGGCGTTCCTCGAGCGCCAGTGTGCAGAGCTTGCTCAGCAGAATGAGGAGCTTCGGCGGAAGCTGCGCCTTCTCTCAACCAGCGCCCGAGGGTACCCTCCCCTTGCCACATCGAGCGGCCCGAGCTTTTCGCTGACGTCTCTACGCGCAGAGGGGCCTGTGGAGCGGAAAGTGAGCGATACCTTGACGACGAGTCCTGGCTCCAGGACGGACCTCGCCGGCCTGCTGCTCGAGGACGCAGAGACCAGCCCGGAGAGGGGGGGCGTTGAGAGGTCAGAGCTGGCGGCGATAGCCGTTGCAGCAGCCGCGCGGGAGGAGGCCTACTACCACGGTAGCCTGGTCCACGTCCTCATCGACAATGACACGTACACGGATCGGACCAAGGTGACAGTGCGGGCGCCGGAACACGAGCGGCTGCTCGCAAACGAGCTCAGCACCCTCTCCGGGCTCGGCTTCGTGGTGCTGGAGGCTCACACCTCGACAACGGGTGGCACGTCTGAGAGCACCTTTGTCGTGCAGAACAGCCTCGGCCACAAGGTGCTAGAGAAGCCCAGGCTTGCTGCCATTGAGCAGCGGTTGCAGCAGCGCTTTTGCGGCGAGCAAGGCGTTCACGGCGTTGGCCGGCTCGCTGCGGCCCACTCCCTCGGCGTCAAGCCTCCCTGGCCGTACGAGTTGTTGGAGCCTGAGGCGCCCGCTCCGACCGTGGAGGCTTCTTGGCTCAGCACCCTAGCCACGGCGCTGCGAGGGTACTCTTCCCTAGGAGAAGTCGTACCGGCGCTCGCAGCAAGGCTCGCGGCGGAGCTGCTGCCAGAGATGACGCGGATGAGGCTGCCGGCCGGCAGCTCAATCGCACAGGGCTCGACGGGCGGCGAGTGGCTGCTGCTCCTCGAAGGATCTGCGTGGGTCGCATGCACGGCCCCGTCCCAGCAGCGAGAACGCAAGGCGAAGGCCGCTCTCTGGATGACGCCCATCTCGCCCCAATCCACAGCCTCGAGCGACGACGACGACAGCAATTTGCCTGCGGAGCCGCGCGGTGAGGTGGATGCTCGCAGCTCGTCGGCGAAGGGCGAATCCCTCATGCCGGGTTCGGTGGTGTGGGAGCTGACGACGCCGGCCCCTTCCGAGAGCACACTGAAAGAGACGAGCGAAATGGCCATCAAGTGGACGGTGCTGTCTACAAGTGACGGAGTCACGCTACGCAGCGTGCATCTGAGCACAGTCCGCTCGCGCCTGGCGGCTCTACGGGAGAGCCTCGCGCGCAAGCACTCGCGGGTAAACGCGCCGAGATGCTTCCTTCCCCCTCACGACAACTTGCGCACAGCTGTGGACGCGCCGTGCCCTTGTAGGTGCTCGCGGATACGCCAGTCTTCGCGCCCCTCGAAACGCCGCGATTGCTCGCCCTCTGCCGGCGTGCGACACTTGTTGAGGTACCTAGCAACGTTGTGGTACTACAAGGAGGCGAGGAGCCGCCAGTTGAGGGCATCACCGACACCACTTTTGGGCTGGTGCTCACGGGCGACCTGCAGATGTGCTTTAGCGTGCCTGAGAAATGGCGCGCTGACAACGGACTCCCGCCACTGTTGCCGCTCATGCGGCTAGGCACAGGCTCTACCTTTGGTGAGTTTAGCGCCGTAACCGGCCTCTCGCTTCCGGCCGGCGTCTCGATGCGCACCGAAAGTGGCGCTACGCTGCTATGCTGGCCGCGCGACCCCTCATTGCTCGGTGAGCTGGAGCAGCTCGTGGGCGATTCGCGCGACCACACGTCGGCGCCGTCGCTTCTTGAGTCTTCGTGGCTCGCGCGTACCCCGCTTGGGCTTCTTGTTGACATGCCCGAGCTGGCGATTTGTCTCCGCCCCATCGCCACTGACGAGCTGATCGCGCAGCTGGCCGCGACATCGGCGCCTGGGTCTGGCTCCGCGGAGGCTGCCGGGACGGGAGTGCGCGATACAGACCTCATGGTCGTGGTGAAGGGCGAGCTGGTGAAGGTGGCGCATGAGTCAGCGCAGATGGAGGTGCATTTGCTGACGGCTGAGAACGGCGGAGGTGGGCCCCTTTCCCACACACAGCCCGAGCCCCTTCGCGGGATTGAGGTTAGTTGCTGACGCCCGTTTTGTCCTCTGCGAGGCAGTTCCGGACAAGTATGCTGGCGGAGACGCGCTGCACGGGCAGCTAGAGCTCGTCGTCGCGGCGAGACTGCCCAGCCGCTGCCGCAACGCGCGGAGCTTCTCTCACGCGCTGAACGACCTCGGCTTGGTTGTGCACGACGCCACCTTTTCGCTCGACAGAGACGTGGACGCCTATCACGTCGTGCTCCCCGCTGGCGACGCGCGGCCTGCTTCCGAGCGTGCTAAGGACCTGCGAGACCAGATCCAGGCGCTCCAGTCGACCGTGCTTCGGCCAGGCGACGGAATGCTCGCCCTCTCGGAAGACGGGACCTCGCGCATTCCGCGCCTCGCGGTGGGCGCCCATGGCGCCAGGCCGAGTGACGGCCCGCCGCAACCGCCCAGGAGCGGCCAAGTAGCGATGCTGGATTTGCGCGCCTTTGCCACCAGCTTGGCAAGCGGCACGTCGGAGCTTGCGGCGCAGTGGCGCCGGTTTCTGGCTTGCCACGCGCCGTCCCTGCAGCTGGACGACGGCGACTCGCGAGGCGCCGGCACCGGCGGGGACGTGCCGGGCGGTGGCCGGGGTGGCTGGCACGAGACTCTCTGCTCCTTCTCTCTGTTTCGGATGCGCCAGCAGACGAGCGAGCCCGAGCTCGGCGTAGAGTTTTCCGACCTTGAGCTGGGGCTGAAGCTGGGCGAGGGCGGCTTTGGCGAGGTCCACCTCGCGCGCCACCGCGTCTCTGGTGCGCTGTTCGCCGTCAAGTCCTTCACCAAGGCGCGAATCCGGCGCATCGAGGAACGAACCACGTATATACGCCTCGAGCGGGAGCGGAAGACGCTGCGTCAGTTGCAGGCGCACTTGCGCGGCACCGCACAGCCGCACAACTTGAGCCGGCTGATCTGCTCGACCCACGACCACGTCTGGCTGCGTCTCGTGCTGCCTGTCTGCCTCGGTGGCGACATGGGCAAGCTGCTCGATGAGATGGGTAAGCTGTCGGACAATGAGGTCCAGTTCTATGCCGGATGTGTCATCCTGGCCCTCACTCACCTCCACTCGCTCCAGATTGCGTACCGCGACCTCAAGCCGGAGAACGTCCTGCTCACCGCGGCCGGCTGGCCCGTCCTCACAGACTTTGGCCTGGTCGCCTTCCTCGACGACGGGCCCGCCACCTCGATGGTGGGCACGCCCGAGTTCATGCCGCCCGAGATCGTGGCGGGTGCCAGCCACGGCACCGACGCCGACTGGTGGAGCCTGGGCGTGATGCTGTGCGAGATGCTCACGCTCGCGACTCCCTTTCGCGTGCCCGGCTCGGGGAGCAACTACGAGAAGACGTACGCCAACATCGTGCGGGGCACCTTTACAAGGGAGTTTGAGCACAAGAGCTTCCGGCTGATGCAGCACAACACCGCCGCCATGATCCGCGGCCTCCTCAAGGTCGACCCGCAGGAGCGGCTCGGCGGCAGCCGGCGCGGCACAGAGAGCATCCGCGTGCACGCCTTCTTCTGGGGCCTCTCGTGGGAGACGCTCGAGGCGCGTGAGCTGCAGCCGCCGCACCAGGGCTGGTGCTCCAAGCACGGCGAGGACATTGAGGACCAGTTCAGGCTGGGGGGCGCCGAGGTGCCGACCGTTGGCGAAGCGGAGACGACCGGGGGTGCCGCCGCGGAGGATGCGGCGGCCGCAGCGCTGGACAAGATGTTTGACTTCAGTGAGTGGTGATCCTGTACTTGTCGTACGCCCGCGTCACAAAATTCACATGTCCTTTGCAAAACGCGTCGTCCCACTCAACTGGCGCGCGTCCGACACACGGCTCTGTCTCTCTCTCTCTCTCTCTCAAAGCGCGCGAGGGCGCGTGCGGCCTAAGGCTATTCCTGGCTGCCCTGGCGGTCGAGGAATGGCGCCAGGTATGGCTTGACGACATTCTCGTCCATCCACGGCGTGATCGCGGCAGCGGTGAGCACCGTGCGGTACTGAGCGATGGCGCCGCCTAGCGCGCCCCAGCCGGCGGTGAAGGCCAAGAACTTGACCTGTGCGGCGAGGGGGGGGGAGCGAGGTGGAGGCGCGCCGCGCGCCCCACACTGACGTGTGCGCGCGGACCTGCCCTTCTTGCGTGAAGAGATCGATCCACTCACCGGTCGCGAAGAAGTAGAAGATGGAAGATAGAGGGAAGGACAAAATCCAGAAGACGCTTTCGGCGACAGCAATCGACAGGACGCCCGCCAGCCCGAGCTTGGCCACCTTATCGAGCGTCCATTCCTCCTCGTCGCTGCTGCTGCTGCCCTCCGCCTCCTCGGCGACGGCGACCTCCTCCTTTTGGCCGAAGGGATTCCGGAACTGCATTATCGGAGCCGCCGCCCTTGCAAGGGGGCCGGGCCGGGCCACGGGCGGCGCCACGAGCGCGGTCGAGAACTGCATGATCGGAGCCGCTGCAATAGCGGGCCGGGCGGGCACCACGAGCGCGGTCGAGAGCAATGAGGCCGCGAAGACCTCCATGAGTGTATCCTCTCGCCTGGCTTCGCTGGAAAGAAGAATTTTACTACCCGCCCCTCTCACAGCAGACTGGCTCAGAAGAAAGCCGAGCTCGCGCTCGAGGAGAAGGCGGCGCGGCACGCAGCGCTGCGACGAGCGAGGCCTCGCGGCTCCTCAGCGTTGCGGAGAGGAAGGCGGAGAGGCTGCTGAGCGAGGCGAGGCAGGAGGCGCGGCGGATAGCGGATAGGCGCGGCGGCCCGCGCCGCGCGCGCCAGCGGAGGGAGGTGCAGTTTGGTGATCGCACAGCACCACCGTCCACCGGCGGGATGAGGCGAAGGCATCGGGGGGAGACACTTGTGAGAGCGCGCGTCCGAGTGGGATGTGCTAGGAGAGGTAGCATGACGACCGATGACACACGCTCGCCCCGCTTAAATAAATAAATAAATAAAACGGGCAAACTCTGAGACGAGATGGGATTTAGGGACATGTGTCCCCGCCCTGCACGATCTTGGTGTGAGGGATCTTCAATCCGTGTCCCCTCACCCCTCGTCACAACCCGACACGGAAGAGAGCGGCAAGAGTTGGGGCTGCGGCTCGCCCCGCTTGCGCTTCGACCTTCGTTGGGCTGATAATTTAATTAAGGGCGTAGACCTTAATTTAATGGGATAAATGGCGTGGTGCATGGCGCATCGTTACTCTCTAAACCGGTAAACTCGCACACATAACTTTCCGACGACCACTCCCAACACGTCAGCTAAGTGCTCTGGTAGCCGTCTCGAGGACGCGCTTTGCGCTCAGGGCAGCCTGCGCCGCGTGCGCTCCAGACGCCTCTCTATTGCACGGCAGACCCTCTGAGGCCTCTGCCCGTGCGCCTGTGCTAGTGCAATGGCTAGTGCACGAGTTGCTAGTGTTTCGTGTGCGCCTTGCCCGCGTGTGGCGAATGGAGGACGTCCGACTCGCGTCCCCGCTCGAGCCACCAGCGCATGTCTCCATCGCGGCAGAAGCGGGCGAGGGCGAACACAGCGTAGCCGTGCTCGGCGAGCACGCTGCGGCCGGGCAGCGAGGAGGCGCCGCCGCTGTAGTCGTATACCACCGCAATCTCCACCACCATCATGCCAAGCCGCTGCAGCAGCTGGGCGCAAGCAAAGGCGGAGCCGCCGGTCGCGAGGATGTCGTCCACGACCACGACGGCGCCCGCGCCCGCCGAGGGGAGGAGGCCCTGGTGCAGCTCGAGGCGTCGCTCTCCTGTTCACGGCTAGTGTGAAGAGACGCTGTCCCCCCCCCCCTCCACCCGACGCAACTGAAGGCAGCGCATCACCCCGTATCTCGAGGCCCAAACGCGCCTTTCCCCTTTCTCCCCATATCTCCCCGTATCTCCCCGCATCTCCGCGCCGTAGTCCATCGCCACCGCATCGGACTCGTGTACGGACGCCGGCAGCTGCCCCGCCTTCCGAATGGGAAGAAAGGCGACGCCGAGCGCCTTTGCCACCGCCGGTCCGAACAAGAACCCGCGCGCCTCGGGCGCCGCCACCGCAACCAGCCCCGTGTGCTGGTACCTGTCGAGAAGAGCCGAGATGCAGCTGAGAGGAGCCGGGAGTAGCCAATTTTACCGCGTGCCGGATACCTCGCCACCAGCGCGTCAATGCAGAGGCCGAACGCGGCGGCGTCGGCGAGGAGCGGCGTCACCTAAAAAAGAATGCCGGCTGCAACACAGAAAGGTGGGCGCGCGTGGCGCGAGGAGTGGTTGAGTGGTTTTGCCTAAAGGCAGACAAGCCGTGCGTGCGACAAGGAGGGCTGTCGGGTGCGGTGTCGGCGAGGAAAGCGACGTGGTCACGTCCCCAAAGACAAAGTCTGCCGTCGGGAAACCGCGCACGGGCCGGACGAGCGGCTTGATCCTCGCCTCGAGGGCAGCCAAGTCTGCCCAGCGCGACGCGGCGGGCAGAGAGGCGGCATCGTCGGGCGGAGGAGGCTGCGGCGGCGGCTGCAGCGGCTGCTGGCGAAGCGACGCCGAGCGAAGCAGTCGCGACCCTCCTCGACCTTCTCGTCCTCCTCCTCCTCTGCCACCGCCGCCGCCGCCGCCGCCGCTGCCTCCTCCGCCGCCGCCACCTCCGCCTTCACCTCCACTTCCGCCGCCGCCGCCGCCTCCGCCGCCGCCGCCTCCGCCGCCTCCGCCGCCTCCGCCGCCGCCTCCAAAGAGCGAATCGGAGCTGCGGCCGGGGCTGCTCGGCGGTTCGTGACGCGGGCTGCGCACCGCGCGGGCTGGCGGCGCGGGCGGCGCGGGCGGCGCGGCGCTGGCCGGCGGAAGGCGGCCGGAAGGTTCGGGGAAGTGTCCGTCGGGCGGCGCGGGCGGGGCGCGCGGAGAGGCAGGCTCCACGGGAGAGGAGTACTGCGACCGGTGCAGCGCAGCACGCTCCATCAGCTCGTACCTAGACACAAGGAATCAGCACCGTCCGGGCGACCTGGTGAAGAGCCCACTCCGCTCCATCGGCTCGCACAGGTTCTTGGAGAAGGAGTCACCGCTGCCGGCAGAGCCGGTGCGAGTGAGCCGCTCCTGCGTGGCCGACGAGGCGAGCTGGGAGATGTAATCGATCCCGTCCTCAGCAAGCTGGTACTCTAGCTCGCGCTCGTCCCGTGGCGACGCCGCATGTCGCGGGCTTTGAGGCCCAATCGCCCGGCTCAGCGGCGTGAGCGGCTGCGGCTCCGTCGGTGTTGGTGGCGTTTTTGGCGGCGCATCGTCGTCCAGCGTAGAGCGTGTCGCGACAGTGCCGTGGGCCGGGCTCGCGAGCTCAGCGCACAGCTCGTTGCGATTCAGCTTGACCACCTCGTTGGTCTGCGACAGCAGCACCTCGATCTGCCGACCGAGCGTGACGACCGTGCCCTTCTTGCCGATGTGCCGCGTGGCACGACAGTTTGGCGTGACGACGACGGGATCGCCGGCGGCTAGGCTGAAAGGCGAGGCCTCCTTCCGTCCGGGGCGCATCTAAATGATACACGGATGGCGCCGCTGCTGCCGTGGAAACTTTTGCAGAAACGGGAGGCACTTGTAAAAGAATTTTACAAGTGCCTTCCTACAAGGATTTTAAACTCGAGCTCCCTCGCACGACACTGGGCACGGGACTGGCGCGCACTGGCACTAACACAGGTACACCACGGGAGCCGCCTAAGCGACTCCTGCGAGGACGGCGAGGCACTTAGCTCCGTGCCCTCGACCGACCGCCCTCGCCTGCACCAACCGCAGAGCGTTGTGTTTTGCCTTTAAGACTTGAACAGTTTTTTTTTGGCGGCCCAGACACGCGACGCGCCTTAGTCCGCGCGCGGAGAGGGTCTGTGGCTTGGCTTTTGTGTGACATAGGGGCGGCTCTCTGCGATACAACGTCTCTCTATACGTCAGTATTGTTGCGAAGGTTTGAGAAGCGGTGAGCAGCTCCGGCGTTCTTCCTTCGTAATTACGTCCTAAGAGGGAAGCGGGTCGTCCGCCCCCGCATGCAGCCCGTTCGTTGGTTCGCTCGCTCACATACGTCCCCCGAGAGGGTATCTAAGTGATGAGCGTCGAATGCGCTCCTCCTAACATGGCCGAATGCGGCTGGGGCAGAGAGCTCACTGGTAGGGATTGCCGTCGAGGCGAGCCGGCCGTACATGCCACACATGCCACATGCTCCTCCACACTACTGTAGCACACACATTCCCCGACCGAAACTTGGAGAGCGGACGTTCTTTATGTCGTTGGGTGTGCTTCTCTGCGTCTGTGGATCCCACCTGAGCCCACTCGCGGTGCGAAGGCTCCTAATGCGGCAACTGAGCCCGCAAGGGTGGGGCACTATAGGGCGGTAAGCCGTCATTGCCCGGCGCTCTCGCTGCTTGCAGCGCTCTGGGTGGTGGTGGCGGCGCCGGCGGGGGGCGAGGGCTCTAGCGAAGGAGGAGAGCCTGAGCCCGGGGAGGATTGGGAGGGGGAGGAGCGGCCGGAGGAGTACGCCGGCCTCTTCGACGACCCATAAGGGGCCGTCGCCTGCTGTGCCTTTTGTAAGTCCGAGTCCGAGCCAGTGTCTGCGTCGCAATGAATTCTTTTTCGTCAGGAGTCGGTACAGTGTAAGTTCCAGTGCGCGCCAGTCCCGTGCCCAGCCGGCCGCTGGTGGCCGCTGGTGGATATGTCCAGCTCCTGCTTCGACGAGCGCGAGATTCTCCTCGCGTGCCTGTCCGAATCGCCCTGCATCGCAGCGGGCAAGCCCATCAGCGTGTGCATCGAGGAGGATGAGGCTTGCCGCTTCAAGCGCGTCGCCCTCATGCACTGCAAGCGCGGCCAGGCCAGCCGCTTGCGCCGCCCGCACGGTCTGCCTCGCGCACTCGGCGCTGACGGGCTGCCCCTGCGCGCGCAGCTCGACATGCGAAAGAGGATCAAGGGCAACTTTGTGGGCAACGAGACGGCGGAGGACGACAAGGCAGAGATGTCGACAAAGCGGAAAGGCGCGGGCGATGACGAGTTATGACAGGAGGCGGCCGCCGCACCGCGCCACACCCCGCCGCATCGCCCGCTCCCGACTAGAGCGCTGCGCCCAGTATGATGATCTCAGAGGGCGCTAGCGAGGCGTGCCCAGCACTGCCCTGCGAGGCTCTTTGCCTACAAGCGTTGAGCGCCAAAAACTACACTTGATCTGATGAGACGGAGAGACGCCCGCGCGCCCGTGCCCGCGACCCCGCGCGGCCGCCCTCTCACGCAGCCCGCCCTTCTCCGCGTCAGGCTGCTGACTGTGCGTGCCAACGGGGAAGCCGGACATGGCTGGCGCTGGTCAACGCTGTTGGCTTGCCGAGCCTTGGGAGCCGCGCAAAGAGCCCAAGCTCTGCACGGTCGATGTGGACGTATCAATCTGTGCGGCACCGTCTATAATAAGCGCGAGCCCCAACTCCTAGTCAGTGTGTGAGTCTCTCTTCCCCTTGTGGGTAGAACGCTAGCTGGCACGCGAGACCGTCACATACGGAATCGTAGAGAAAAAACGGCATTTTTTTGGTAAAATTACACTGTGAAAAAGACAGAAAAAGAGAGAAAAAACGCGCGCGCAGCGCGCGTAGGCGGCGCGCAGCGCCGCCGCAGGCGGCGGACAGCAGGTGCGCAAAATTAAACGCCATTTTCGGTTCCGCGGTTTTGGCACTAACATCAAATGATTGACTGATTCGACCACATGCCCGCCATGCGCAGGCCAGCGCCGCGCTGTGATACGCATAGAGACGACCCGACCTCTCTGAACTAAGCCAGATTACTGCGAACGAACGCCTAGCGCGGCGGGGAAGTCAACGGGGCAGCCGGCGGTGGCCGGCCGCGCCCGAGGCGCGAGGGCGTAGACGGGTCACAAATTGCCCGGGACGGCTGGTCACTTGGTCTCTGACGTAGGCCACGCACATGCACATTAAGCGGTGACATGACCTGATTGCTAAAAGAGCCGGTCCGCGAAATTAAATGCCATTCTCCAGGTATCCATTTTAGCACTATCTTCGAAATCCCGGCCGGTACTGTTTTAAGAATGAGTGAAAGAGGTTGTTGGTGTTGTCTCTGAACGGGCTCGGCTGCGCCTGGGTTCGGAGCTTCAACGCCGGCCATTGCGCCGAATAAAACGGCGGCAAGTGCACAGGGGCTTCGGCGAGAGCGTCGATGCCTTGAGCTGCCCGCTAATTGCCAGGGGCTGCACCGCCGTGTACATCAAGAAGAACTTGCAGATGTGCAAACTGTGTGTATGCCGAATCGTGACGGCGGCGAGGACGACACGGACGGAGCAGGCGACAAAGGCGAATCCGACGGCGGAGGCGACGGCGACACGGACGGAGGCGGCGAAAGCGAGACCGATGGCGGCGACGGCGACGGCAAGCGAGGTTGCTGCGGGGAGGGCGAGACGGAGGAAGGCAGCGGCGACGGCGACACGGACGGAGGCGGCGACGGCGACACGGACGGAGGCGGCGAAGTCGACACGACCGACGGCGGCGGGGAGAGCGATTCCAACGGCGGCGGCGGCGACGGCGACAAGGACAGAGGCGGCGAAAGCGAGACCGACGGCGGCGACGGCGACGGCGACATGGATTGAGGCGGCAAAGGTGAGATCGGCGGCGGGGATGGCAAAACGGAGGAAGGCAGCGGCGACGGCGACACGGACGGAGGCGGCGAAGGCGACACGGACAGATCCGAGGCGGCGCGACGGCGACACGGACGGCGGAGCGGCGACAGCGACACGGAAGAAGGCGACGGCGAGACCGACGGCACGGCGGGGAGGGTGAGGCCGACGGCGGCAGCGGGGAGGAGTGCGGCGGCAACGGCAGCGGTGAGGGCGGCGGCGACGGCGGCGGAGAGAGCGGCGGCGACGGCGAGACCGACGGCGCGGCGGGGAGGGTGAGGCCGATCATGCTTGGCGGCAGCGGGGAGGAGTGCGGCGGCAACGGCAGCGGCGAGGGCGGCGGCGACGGCGGAGGAGAGAGCGGCGGAGAGGGCGGTGGAGAAGGCCGCGGGGAGGGTGGCGGAGAGGGCGGTGGAGGCGAGGGCGGCGGCGACGGCGGAGGAGAGCGCGGAGGCGACAGTGGCGGAGAGGGCGGCGAGGAGGGTGGCGAAATCGCAATAATTCACCTGCGGGAACCGGGACGGCGGGGAGGGGGGGGACCGACTCGTGCCGCGGGCCGCCGGGCAGCGGCCATACCCGCTCGGCGGAGGCAGGGCTCAGAATCGGTTTCAGGCCACAAGGCTGGTGAGTTGGGCGTGACCGTCATCTATAGAACGCGCCCGCTCGGAAGTCTCGGTCTGCGGAAGGTAACGACGATTCGGCTAGGCGTCTGCGGAGGCAAAGGGCGGGCTGGCGATCCGCTACGAGGCCTGTTTGTCGCGGTCGGACAGGCACCCGTCGCATCTGTGGACAGGTGTGACGACGGCAGTCACGAGTTTGCGGCGCAGCCGCGCACGGGGCCCCGCCGTCAGCGGCCACACATGCAAGAGCGGCACAGCATGAGTCGGGGGGGTGTCGGGGCACGACGAGGGTTGCTTCGGCTGGCGCTCTGAGGCCACCAGGCGGCCCCATTTGATGTCCGGGAGGTGCCTCCCGGACGCCTCCCGGACAGCTAACGTGCAGAGCATCGAATAGACGCCTTGCCCGGCATTTTTTTGGTAAAATTACACTGTGAAAAAGACAGAAAAAGAGAGAAAAAACGCGCGCGCAGCGCGCGTAGGCGGCGCGCAGCGCCGCCGCAGGCGGCGGACAGCAGGTGCGCAAAATTAAACGCCATTTTCGGTTCCGCGGTTTTGGCACTAACATCAAATGATTGACTGATTCGACCACATGCCCGCCATGCGCAGGCCAGCGCCGCGCTGTGATACGCATAGAGACGACCCGACCTCTCTGAACTAAGCCAGATTACTGCGAACGAACGCCTAGCGCGGCGGGGAAGTCAACGGGGCAGCCGGCGGTGGCCGGCCGCGCCCGAGGCGCGAGGGCGTAGACGGGTCACAAATTGCCCGGGACGGCTGGTCACTTGGTCTCTGACGTAGGCCACGCACATGCACATTAAGCGGTGACATGACCTGATTGCTAAAAGAGCCGGTCCGCGAAATTAAATGCCATTCTCCAGGTATCCATTTTAGCACTATCTTCGAAATCCCGGCCGGTACTGTTTTAAGAATGAGTGAAAGAGGTTGTTGGTGTTGTCTCTGAACGGGCTCGGCTGCGCCTGGGTTCGGAGCTTCAACGCCGGCCATTGCGCCGAATAAAACGGCGGCAAGTGCACAGGGGCTTCGGCGAGAGCGTCGATGCCTTGAGCTGCCCGCTAATTGCCAGGGGCTGCACCGCCGTGTACATCAAGAAGAACTTGCAGATGTGCAAACTGTGTGTATGCCGAATCGTGACGGCGGCGAGGACGACACGGACGGAGCAGGCGACAAAGGCGAATCCGACGGCGGAGGCGACGGCGACACGGACGGAGGCGGCGAAAGCGAGACCGATGGCGGCGACGGCGACGGCAAGCGAGGTTGCTGCGGGGAGGGCGAGACGGAGGAAGGCAGCGGCGACGGCGACACGGACGGAGGCGGCGACGGCGACACGGACGGAGGCGGCGAAGTCGACACGACCGACGGCGGCGGGGAGAGCGATTCCAACGGCGGCGGCGGCGACGGCGACAAGGACAGAGGCGGCGAAAGCGAGACCGACGGCGGCGACGGCGACGGCGACATGGATTGAGGCGGCAAAGGTGAGATCGGCGGCGGGGATGGCAAAACGGAGGAAGGCAGCGGCGACGGCGACACGGACGGAGGCGGCGAAGGCGACACGGACAGATCCGAGGCGGCGCGACGGCGACACGGACGGCGGAGCGGCGACAGCGACACGGAAGAAGGCGACGGCGAGACCGACGGCACGGCGGGGAGGGTGAGGCCGACGGCGGCAGCGGGGAGGAGTGCGGCGGCAACGGCAGCGGTGAGGGCGGCGGCGACGGCGGCGGAGAGAGCGGCGGCGACGGCGAGACCGACGGCGCGGCGGGGAGGGTGAGGCCGATCATGCTTGGCGGCAGCGGGGAGGAGTGCGGCGGCAACGGCAGCGGCGAGGGCGGCGGCGACGGCGGAGGAGAGAGCGGCGGAGAGGGCGGTGGAGAAGGCCGCGGGGAGGGTGGCGGAGAGGGCGGTGGAGGCGAGGGCGGCGGCGACGGCGGAGGAGAGCGCGGAGGCGACAGTGGCGGAGAGGGCGGCGAGGAGGGTGGCGAAATCGCAATAATTCACCTGCGGGAACCGGGACGGCGGGGAGGGGGGGGACCGACTCGTGCCGCGGGCCGCCGGGCAGCGGCCATACCCGCTCGGCGGAGGCAGGGCTCAGAATCGGTTTCAGGCCACAAGGCTGGTGAGTTGGGCGTGACCGTCATCTATAGAACGCGCCCGCTCGGAAGTCTCGGTCTGCGGAAGGTAACGACGATTCGGCTAGGCGTCTGCGGAGGCAAAGGGCGGGCTGGCGATCCGCTACGAGGCCTGTTTGTCGCGGTCGGACAGGCACCCGTCGCATCTGTGGACAGGTGTGACGACGGCAGTCACGAGTTTGCGGCGCAGCCGCGCACGGGGCCCCGCCGTCAGCGGCCACACATGCAAGAGCGGCACAGCATGAGTCGGGGGGGTGTCGGGGCACGACGAGGGTTGCTTCGGCTGGCGCTCTGAGGCCACCAGGCGGCCCCATTTGATGTCCGGGAGGTGCCTCCCGGACGCCTCCCGGACAGCTAACGTGCAGAGCATCGAATAGACGCCTTCCCCGAAAAAACGACGGCGGGGAACGGGTATACAGTAGGGTATGTATGTAACTAGTGAGACGATTGTTTGGGGAGGGCGCGAGTGGGAGACTTTTCGGCGGGCGAAATGCGGCGGTTTGGATGCGTCCTCTGCGCTGAGTCCTGAGCGCGTGTGTATGTGTTGTGCTGTCTTGATACATGATAGTTGAAGATTCTCGTCTCACGTCTGACTGTTCACAGGAATTTTCTATCTCAGTTACCTTTGCGCATTCTGTATCAACCGGTGGGACAGCCAACCCTCGCACTATCGAGACCGTTAAACCATCTTTGGCGTCGATTTCTTCAGACCGTGCTCCGTGGACAGAGGCACACATAGTAACAGACACACACGCCACGGTTTCGGTTTTTTGCGCGCGGGATGCGCTCTCTTCGTGCGGTCTTGCCCCGCCTCACCGTCACGTGGCGCTCACTCGTGGCGCGAGCAAGTACATGCGCACGGGGTAGATGTCGCTCGGGAAGTCGGCCTGTCGGGTGGACTTGACCACACGGTACCCAGCTCGCCGGAAGAGGGCCATGTGGTGGGCGTGCGTCCGCAGCACCGCCGCGTTCTCGGCGTCAAGCATGTAGTTGCCGCGGCCCTCGCGGCACTTCTTTGGCGGCGCCGTGTTCTCCTTGACCACCACGAGTCCGCCTAGGTACACGGCCTAACCAGTCACCCTCGGATCGAACACAACAGCAGGACGGCGTGCGAGCGCGCCCGGGCGGACGGCGCCGTGGCAGGCAGCGAGCAGCCGCACAACGCTGTGGTCCGTCAGATGCCCGAGGATCCACTGCGCCCAGATGGCGTCGTACGTGCCAGCTGGCGGGACAAACTCTCGCAGGCTGGCCAGCGTGAAGTCAAGCCGCGAAGAGTCGTCGCACAGCGCTGTGCGCGCAGCCTGCAGCAGCGGAGCGCTCACCTCGACGAGGTGGACCCGCTCGAAAACCTTGAGGAGTACGCCACCACTCACGCGGCCCGAGCCCGCGCCCAGGTCAAGCGCGAGTGAGCCCGCAGGCGCCGTTTCGCCTCCGAGCGCCGCACGGAGGAAGTGCAGTGAGCCGGACAGGTCGACCCCGTCCACCGACCCGCAGCCGCCAAGCACGTCGTCGCACGCGGACCAGTGTGCAATCGACCGCTCGTACCACTCGTCCTCCGAGCAGTGCCACCAGAGGGCAGTTTTGCGGCGGCGTGAGGCGGGCATCTTTGTTGGCGGGAAGCCAATACCTAGGCGCGGCAGCGAGCGGAGAAAAGAATTCGCGCGCCACACACTGGCACGACAAATGTGTGCCAGCAAGACGCTCTGTCGCTGGCGGCCGCAGTTTTCTGTGAGGTGGGAGGAGAGGAGAGGACAAAGTGAAGATGGCACAGCAGCTAGGCCCCGCCAGCTGCTCAAGCGCCCATCGTCGTCGTCGTCGACGAGGTTCAGATCACCAGTGATGCAAGCTCGTCCTCGTTCCAGGGGCTCAACACGTAAAGGACCACACGCCTTGTCTGAGTTGGACCACGGTGTACGACAATGCAGGAGCAGTGACCAGCTACACCCTGGGGCAGAGCAACGCCAAGGGCGCCTTCCTGCCGCGGTGCCGATTCGGCACGCACCAGCAGACAAGTGCTATCCTCGATGGGAACCACATTCTCAATGTGCTCTTCAATGGGGCATTCTGGTCGCGGCTCTTGACCGCTCTGGACGCGGCGAACTTCTTCGCCACCTCCATGGGGAAGATCGGCGTGCTGCACCAGCGACTCGCCGACCTGGCGATGGCCAACCCAGGTGTCTGGATGATCACGCACCCGGACATCTTTCTCGGTGAAGATTTTGACACGCCTGCCGTTCCGGCGCCGGCCGCGGTAATCACCAACAGGGTGGAACCCAACATAATCACCAACAGGGTGGAACCCAATATAATCACCAACAGGGTGGAACCCAACATAATCACCAACAGGGTGGAACCCAATATAATCACCAACAGGGTGGAACCCAATATCGATGGCATCGACAAACAGCACGAACCATCCGGTGTTGGTTGGCGAGCCGACGGTTGCCTTGGCGGGAAGAGGTGGCGGCAGGTTTCGCATGAAAACTGGGTGCGAGAAGTCGGCCTGGTCGTACATGAAGGAGGGGCTCGACCCATCAGGAGCGAACCAGCTGGTCTCACCCTGCTCTGTATCGTAGTCTGAGGGAGGGTGTAGAGGATGTAGAGTGTAGAGCGCTGTAGAGCTGTAGAGATGTAGAGCGCTGGAGAGCGCTGTAGAGCTGTAGAGCTCTACATCCGCCGCGTGACGATGTGAGTCGCCTGTAGAGCGATGTAGAGGCGCTCTACAACGTGAAATCCGTTAGAGACGACTCTCTCTCTCCCAACTGTGAACAGTCGTTATCTGTATATGCGCAGCTATTCATAGCCGCGCCTGTTGTTTGTGTGTGTATCCGCGCTCTTGGCGCGATTACGAGACTGACTAGTGTGTCGCACTAGTTGTACTTTTCGTAATAGTATTCCGCATTCATTGCGAGGGCGGACCACTCCTAGCGTGCAGACCGCGGGAGCTGGTGCCGCGGCCAGTGTAGACCTGGCCTGCGCTGTGACGCGCGCGCTCATCTGCAACGTGGAGCCGACTGAGGGGTAACTACGTAGCATGTCTAGCAACAACCGTGACAAAGACATGCCGTCCGTCATCCAATGGGATGGGACATCTGGCCTTCCTTTCAAGGAGTGGAGAAGGGCAATTCTCGACACTGGTGCGGAGCGGACCGACGAATCCGGCTCCAGCGTCGCGGATGTCTTCGCTGGTGCGGACATGGGAGGAACCGCCGTCGGCTCTCCACCTCTGCCTGCTGGCGCTGCACAGCACGCACAACCATCGGGTGGCCTGCCGAGATGACGCGCCCCGACATCAAGTACTTCTTCTCGAAGCTCGGCTCTTTCTCTCAGGCTTGCGGCGCCGTCCATCGTGACGCCATCATGACCGTCATCAACTATCTCAACGCCACAAAGCACCTCGGCATCACCTACGGCGGAAAGCTCAAGATCCCCTACGGACTCGACATTTTCCCGCCAGGCTTCATCGAGTCTCGTGGCCTCCACGCCTACCATGACGCCTCCTTCGGCAAGGCGCCACACTACGGCGGATGCGTCGTGATGTTCAACAACGGCGCCATCGACTGGAGCGCCAACAAGTCCAAGATCGAGGCTCTCAGCGTCGCCGAAGAGGAGACCGCCACCGCCTCCGTCGCCGCCAAGAAAGTCGTCTCCTGCCGGCTCATGCTCGAGGACGCTGGCCGAGCTGTCGCAGGACCCACGCCCCAGCTCGGTGACTGCAAAGCCGTCTTTGACATCATCGTCAAGCCCGGCTCTACTGCTCGCACGCGCTACTACGAACGTGCCACCATGTTTGTCAAGCGCCTCTTCATGCTCCGCCACGTCGCGCCGTACCTCGTCGGCACTGCTTATATGATCGCCGACGTCTTCACCAAGACGCAGGCGACGCGAGCTATGTTCTTCACCTGTCGCGACTACATGCTCAACGCCAGCAACGGCCCCGGCTTTGCTGTGACGCTCCAGGGGCAGGCTGCCCGGCTGTGGAGCAAGCTCGTCGCGACCGTCGGCAAGGCGTGAGTCATCACCCCTTCGCCGAAGACGCGCGAGTCGTCCGAGATAGTTGCCGATGCAACTATCTAGATAGGGGGGAGCGTTAGAGACGACTCTCTCTCTCCCAACTGTGAACAGTCGTTATCTGTATATGCGCAGCTATTCATAGCCGCGCCTGTTGTTTGTGTGTGTATCCGCGCTCTTGGCGCGATTACGAGACTGACTAGTGTGTCGCACTAGTTGTACTTTTCGTAATAGTATTCCGCATTCATTGCGAGGGCGGACCACTCCTAGCGTGCAGACCGCGGGAGCTGGTGCCGCGGCCAGTGTAGACCTGGCCTGCGCTGTGACGCGCGCGCTCATCTGCAACGAAATCTCTACAACAAACTCTACATCATAAGCGGCGAACGAGGCACGGTCGCTCTCCGACATGAGGCGCGTTGCACTTGCCAGTGCTGCCCTGGCCTTCTGTCTGCCCGCCCAATGGGTGGCAGGTGCCTCTGCTGCTGTGGCATGCCTCACGGCTGCGACTGGCCGGCGCCTCGGCGCGTCAGCTCGGCTCGGCGTAGCGATAGTGGCCAGCGCAACTCGCCTGGACTCAACGCTCAGCCAGGAGCTCCCGCACGCGCTGGCGCGAGGCATGGCGCATGCAACGCGTCTGAATGCTCGCCTCGCCTCGCGCAAATGCGACCGTCCTCGCAGCCGACAGTCCACCGCCTGCTAAAGAAGCACAGCGACGAATGCGGCACCGGCGACACATGGCAGGCTGGTCATGACGCAGTCATAGGGTGTTGTGTGCCGTCAGAGTGACTCTCTGTGTGTCAGGGATAGCCAGGGCTGTCCATCAGAGCTCCAGTAAGCTCGGAGACACCCCATTAGCGCGGCTCGACCTCTTTGAGTCACTGCCTTCCCGGCGGTTTGGCTGTAGAGCCTCTACAACAAACTCTACAGCAAAATCGCGCTCTACATCGCTCTACAGGCGACTCACATCGTCACGCGCCGGATGTAGAGCTCTACAGCTCTACAGCTCTACAGCGCTCTACATCTCTACAGCTCTACAGCGCTCTACACTCTACATCCTCTACACCCTCCCTCAGATCGTAGTAGCAGAAGTGGAAGAAGCCATCCGAGTCCACTGCGACAAATACAGCGAGCACCCAGGGCTCCATGACGGTGGGAATCCACCGGCCAGGACCGGAAGGCCCAGAGTGCAGAGAGAAAGCAAAAGGCATGATATAGCAAAGCTCTCTCTGGACGGGGTACAACGAAGGGGGCAACCCACACCACACAAGACGCCAAGCACAAAAGAATAACAAGACGGTGTACTCAGGCAGTCTCATGCGGAAGAGTCAGAGATACAAGAGCACCTAAAGGAGCAAGGCATACAGCTGTGAAGTGGTCTCTCCACTGACAAAGAAGCATTCTCCGGAGAATGAAAAAACACATTCGGCGTGTCGTTCGCGGCGATCTCTTGGCGCGAGCTGGCGGCCGTCCTCGGTTGTTCCTCTGTTTGGACTGTTGTGAGACCCCGCCATCCTGGCCCCCGCCCCTCCCCCCCTCGGGGCCGCACACCACTCCTCTCTCCACGCACGCGGACGGGCTGATGGGACAGAACTCCGCCCGAGATCGCGACGCCGGCCGCGGCCGCCGCCGCCACCCTCTCCCGCTCGGCCGCCGCTGCCTGGCAGTTGGACTTCTTGCCAGCCCCAATCACCGATGCCTCCCCAAGCGGACGCCACCTGCCTGCGCCCCTCCTCCTCACGATCACGTGGCGCGGCCACCACCCGCCTCACCCGCTCCGCACCGGAACCACACAGCCACTCCACACACCGCCTCGCTCACGCCCCGCTCGACCACCCTCCGCAGACGCCAGAGCCGCTCGCGCATGGCGCAAAAGCTGTTCAGACTGATCCTTGCCAGCAGCACCGACGCCGCCACCGCCGCCACCGCCGCCACCGCCGCCACCTCCTCCCTTCTTGCACGGCGGAGCGGCGTCGAGACGACACCAGGCGGCGCCACCCCGGCACCGGGCGGCGAACGCTTCTCCGCTCCGCGCCGGTATGCTGCTCCGC